CGCTCTGGAAGTCGATGGTTGCCTTGGTACGGTGGACACACTCTGCCGATTACATGCACTTAGAGCATTTGTGTGGGAACACACACAATCGATTGTATAAAAACGCTTTCTGCAAAACCGACTTCTACAAATTTGACCTAATTTCGTAGTGTAGACATACCCTAAGAAGACAAGTGATATTCAAATGTCTGGAGAAAGGGATATAATGATATAATTTGCATTTTAGAAAGTATAGATAGCTGTAAGCATCAAATTTGCCCCTCAACCTAGTCAGTAGTATTATATTATTAAATGTAAAGTACGACAAAAAGAGGAGCACAGCGAAGCACAAGTAGAATGGAGAGAGGGGACTGTTCTGTGAGGTATGCTGTTATGGCAAGCTTGTGTAATGTTAGAGGGCTTAATCCTTCACCAGCTTACTTCCCTGATCCTTCTCACATGAACAGAGAGCAACAATACCCGAAGTCCAAAGGTGCAAACAATTCAATGTTTATTGGGGTGAACTTCCAGCAAGCATGATTCCAGTTTCCTTCCTTAGTGTCCCCCTTCCCAGCTCTGACACCACAGAGCCTTACCTGTGTCCCTATTCCCATTCCCCTCCTTAGCAAAACATGATTCCAATTTCCCCACCCCCATTCCCTGTTCCTCTCTCCCCCCCCCTACTTCTTGACTGACTGCAGACTATGTAGTAAAACTTGAGTTCTGCTTAGCTATACCTTAATCAGTTACTGAAATTTAACTAACCAATCCTAACATATTGTAACATGATTATTTAACCAGTTATATCCCACCACCTTAATTAGTTAACATCCGGCAAAATTAATTACACAGCAGACAGAAACAATCACAGAACCAGACAGAGACCATGCAAATAAACAACAGCAAAATGGGAACAATAATGACAAAACAATACAGAAGTGAGGATTTCACATCTACACCTATAAAGACATAAGGGTTTCCCAGCTGTGTCTATTGATAAGTGAGTTCTTACTGAATAGAAAACTATCAAACTAAACTTCCTTTTACATCCACTAGGCTCTTCCCTTTCTCTGGAGATGATAGATCAGATCACCTTTCTAACAGCCCCAGATTGCCTTATTTCAATGTGACTAGTTTGGAATGTGAGGCTGTGACCACACACTTCCTAGCTTATGGCTGCCTCTGCTGTTTAGCCAAAGATCTTAGCCTAAGAACAGGGCCTCAGACTGTCACTGTAAGAGAAGACCTGTAAACAGGCAGACTGTGATTTTGATTCTTTCTTTTATACCTCTATAACTAGCTAAGTGATAAGAATATACCTAATTTCTTAAAGTATAGGCCTTTGCATACAGGCCTGAATATCTATATCCTAACATGTAATTCACAAGGAAAATAGTTGTGAAAGTTACTGTTGTCCAAAGAAACATTAATTTACCTTTGGTACTCCCTCAGAGGGGTCATGCATGCACACCCATAGAGGAGAGAGCCAACAGTAGTTCAGCAAAATAGCTGGCTGTGCTGCCAAAGCTGAGGGAGAAGATTGAAAACACATGTAGGCACATACCCCCTAGGCCTGATCCTTGGAAGTGTTGTGCATCTGGAACTCCCAACAGGTCTGCTTCTAAACTCATATTGTATTTTACACATCTGGTTTAGCTAACTCAGATTAGAATCAGACTGACTGACTTCAATCTGAGCTGAAGGAACTCAGCAGGTCTGAAAATCAGACTTTTATTTAGGAACCTAAATTTAGTCTCCTGTCTCCATCAGGGTATCAAAGTCCATGACAGAAGCTGGCTCCTACAGCTTGAAGAGAAAAGATCCCGTAGGAAGCAAGCAGCTCCCAACCAAGACACATATATTTGCAATAACTGCCAAAGATCACAGAAATCTTGGATTGGACTATTCAGTCACATGAGACATTGCAAACCATCTACATCATAGGCTGCAATTCCCACTGTCTCTCATAGATGAAAAGATACCAACAACTGTTTGAAAACCTTGACCAAAAATACTAAATAGCTAAATGATGAAACTTCTTTTTATAACGCTTTATTCTTGCAACAGGTTAAAATCTCATTTATGTTCAAGTAAATCCATTTTTGGATTCTAATCATGGCTTTGATAGCCCAAAAACACTTTTCAGAGTAAAGCTTGAAAATTAGTCCCAATGATTTGAACACAATGCTTTTAAGCAATCTAACGGCTAGTCTACACTGGCAATGCTAAAGCCATCTCCATGGCACTGGTGCACTGTCTACACTGGCACTTTACAGCGCTTAAACTTGCTGTGCTCCGGGGGGTGTTTTTGCACACCCCTGAGTGAGAAAGTTGCAGTGCTGTAAAGTGCCAGTGTAGACAAGCCCTAAGAGGCTTTTGTACTGTGCCCACCATTGTGGTTGAGTTTCTAGGTTGCTGATTTTGCAATCTGTGTGTTACAAAGGAATAACTCACTGATGTTGGTTCACTAACATGAAAATTTGGTCCCAAATCAAAAGCTTAAAATTGCCATGCCCTATCAACAGGTGTGGCCTCTTGCTGTTATCAATTGCAAACAGTTAGTACCAGCTTAAGACTTGTACCAGGTGATGTTTTATATGATAGCAAGCAAGATATAAAGGGTTTCAGTCTAATTACTTTTCATAGGTTACTTATATACTATATAAACCTGTGATAGGATAGGACACATCGAAAAACGAAAGCCTTGATTACAAGATTTGAAAAATTGCTTTGGAGGGATGAGTGTGTATACATTAATTTATTGTAGGGACAAGGCAAGAAAGCAAGCCAATAAGGTGTTGAGTTTCTTTCTACTGTTATGGCTTTCATTTTCTTACCAATATTATCACTGACTAAATATTATTATTCATGTAAGATAATAGACACATTAAACTGAACGGGTAACCATGTGTTCCCTTTCTTTCAGCAGGTATTACTTTTATGTTCTGATTGCTCATGACATTTCAAACAGCAATCTCTTAAATATATTTTAGTAGTAATACAGTACAGCTAAAGCAAAAATTAAATAGCCCTATACTTTTATTTTCAAGAAGTTCAAAATAAGAGCACAGGGCTATTTAAACAATCTGCAACCTGCTTGAGAAAAATACTACTAAATAGAAAGTTGGTGTCCGTCTCAATAACAGTATCTATAAAATTCTAAAGGACTGACAAAACCTTACATCTAAACCTGATGCAATGCAGCAGTTAAGAGTTTTATTTCAATCGACTTCCATATTTACACTGATCCAGTGGTTCACTCTGTGTGACAATGTACAATGGAATGCTCACCAACATCAGTAGGTTTGCATAGAGATGAATGGGAGAATGTTCCGGCTTTTATGCATTAACTACACGTTTAGTTATCAGTCATTATTTGTTCAGTGCCCTAATGTCAGTTAGACAGATGAATGGCCTTTAGGCCATGATTATTTCTACCCTTCTTCCTTTCTCTCCCACTTCAGTCTTAGTGAATCTCTTGTTTTTTTCCTTTGCATTTCCTTCCATGCAACAATTACCAGCCAAGTGGGACTTCACTTCCACTCCACTGAGCCATTCCATCCATTACAATGGTTAGTGATTAAATAGCTAATGTTGACATGCCAATCAGAGATACCAGTGACACTCTAATCAGATTAATAGGATACTGGAAATTTCCCATTGCTGTCAGTTTTAAGATATCTGCAGACTCAGGCAGACAACATTTTGGTTACAAATCATTCACATTTGGAGTTAGGCTTTCGTCAGTAAAACTTTCGTAGTTCAATGGTGTGAAAAAAACACCTCCCTGAACAACAAAAGTTTTACCGACGAAAAGTGCTTGTGTGAACAGTGCTTTGTTGGCAGGAGAGCTCTCCCTCTGACAAAGCTACCACCTCTCATTGCAGGTGGAATTTTTTTGTCGGCGGGAGAACAAAGAGCGACTACACCGCACACCTTTTAGCGGCATGGCTGTAGCGGCACAGCTGTGTCGCTAAAAGGTGCATAGTGCAGACATAGCTTTATTTTGGCAGCCATGAGGCTGCGAAACTTTTTTTTTTTTAAAAGACAGCTTAAGTTCTGGAGAATCTGAGTACATCACGCAGGCCATATGGTTGACACCCCTAATTTATATCAAATGCACACTGGAGGACCTGTACCAAATTTCACGGAGTACACTCTTCGCCTTCCTCTGCAGCGTGGTCACTTGTGGGAAGTTTCTCTGCACCTTGAAGTCTTTAACCACGAGTTGAGGACGTCAATAGCTCAGATATAGGTTGGGGTTTATTACAGGAGTGGGTGGGTGAGATTCTGGGGCCTGCGTTGTGCAGGAGGTCAGACTAGACGATCCTGACGGTCCCTTTCTGACCGTAATATCTATGAGTCTAACTCAGTTCAAATAATGGAGTCTAGTTCAGAGTCCTGTGGTAGTGGTCAGCCGGGGGCAGCGACAGGAGGAGGCACCTGAACAGAGAGGGAGCTGAGACTGAACCTGAGGCACTGGAGGGAGGCGGTCAGGACTCAGCTCTGCAGCACTACTGGGGAGCGGAGGCAGCAGGGGTGGGGGCTGCAGCCCCGGAGCATTTCGGGGGAGCGGGTCGGGGCCAGGGAGTGAGATGTGGGGAGATTTGTGGGTCAGGCTGAGGGAGGCACGACAGAGGCTGAGGACGGGCTCAGGGCTGAAGCTCTTCGGGGCAGCGCACCCGGGAGCGTAGCCGTGGGGGGCCGCCGGCCGGTGGAGCGGGGCTGGTGCACGGGGGACAGCGGCTGGGGCGTGGGGGCGCCGCGTTGACGTCTGGGCTCGGCCCGAGTCCGGCGCGCCAGAGGCAGAGCGCTCGGAGACCAGCGAGTAGGAGGGAGGCGCAGGCGCCTCAGCACGTAGAAACCGAGGGCAAGGGTTAGGGGACTGAGAGGAAACGCCCCCCTGGCTGCGTCACACACTGCGTGCGCATCACCACGCCCGCCTTTCCCACTGGGCACGAGCCCTGTGGAACTGTCCTCGCGTTCAAGCCCAGTTACAGGAAGTGACGTAAGGGGCCGGGGGCGGCGCTTCCGGGGGGCGTAACGCGGAAGTGGGGAGCGCCGTGTCGGAGGAGGCTGCGCGGCTGGAGGGAGGAGCCTGTGCTGGAGCGCCCCCTCGCGTTGGGGCTGTGCGCAGCGGCTGGCCGCAGCCTATCCCGGCCCCTCGCTATGAACATAGACGTGGAGTTCCACATCCGCCACAACTACCCCTGGGCCCGCCTGCCTGCCAGCGTCCGCCAGGTACCGGCATGGCGGGGGGGGGAGTAGCCGGGCCAGTCCCAACCCCCTCCCGCCAGCGCCCCACTGGGCCGGGGGAGGGGCGGCTGGGTGGGTACCAACCCCCCTCTGGCCAGCATCTGGCCGGTACCGGGGCGGGCGGGGCAGCCGGGCCGGTACCGCCTCCCCTCCCGCCCGCGTTAGACAAGTTCTGGTCCTCGCCTGGGCTGGTACCAATCCCCCTCCCGTCAGCATCTGACCGATACCGGGCTGGGGGGAGCGGTCACTGTACCAAAGCCCCTCCCCCAGCATCAGCCCATGACCGGACACCAGCCTCCCCCTGCCCGGAGTGTTGGACGGGTGCCATGGACAGCGCGGACCCCTCCCCTGCCGGTGCTACACGGCGGGGAGAGGCGGGGATCGTCAGCCACCCGCTGGGCTGCCGGTGACAGCTAGAGACATTGGGAGCCTAGTGAGAGGGGAGAGGCGAAAGCATCGTCCTGCCTCCCACCGCCAGGCGGGGCTTCTGGGGGCAACACCATTCCCTTCTTTCGGGCCTCAGCTGCCCCTTCCCCTGGCTCTGCCGTTCCCATTATCAGGCCCTCTCGCTACACCGGCAACTGGGGGGCTTACCTACCTCTGTCATCCTCCCATCCATGCTGCTCCACCTGTCTTCATCTTCCCCATGAAGGGGACTCCTTGTTCCCCAATCACCTTCTTTGGCCCCTTCATCTCTCCTATTGGTATCAATCCTTTGTCGCGTATGCCATCTTACAGAATCAACGCATCCTGTCTTCATCACCTCCAGCAGGGGCCCTGGTGACTCTATCGCCTTCAGGTTCTTGGCAAGGGGTAATTGGGGCCCCCACCCTTCTGGGACTATGGATCTCATCTGCCTCCTGTCTTGACATTGGGGAGTCGAGATTTATCAGACAGACTCCAGAGTGTCATGCGGGAAAAACTGCGCTATTTAAGCATGTGGCTTTAGTGCTGTAAGTGTCCTATTAACAGCATGTGCTTCTAAAACTAAATCTCAGCTCTCAGTAAGTGAACCGAGAGAGAGAGAGAGTGTCCTGTCTCCATCCCTCCCTGTGTGGTGCGTGATCACTAGGTGCTCCTGGAAAGCACAGGTGGTTCTGACACCTGTAGGGTTGAGATGAAACAATCATAACATGGAGGTGTGATTCATAGTGAAGCTTTAAGCGACTGAGGATTATTTTCTGGGGGAAGTTCAGATCCAGGGGAGGACTCCCCACTCAACACTGTACTATGTACAGTAAACCAGGAGTGGTTTCAAGAATTAAGGATTATACTGCGCTAGTTTTCAGCAGTAAGGGAAATGTCACAATAAGCGTTAATGAAAATGGAAACCCCATGAAATTTTGATGAGTGCCAGGTTTAATGGGCTTCTGACAGCCCAAGTGATAAACATTGTTTAAAGTCAAGAAGGAAAGTCTCTTTTCATCTTAGGAATCTTATGCTACTTCAAAGCAGAAACTGAAAAATAATTCCTTCTCTTACGCAGGAGAAAGGGAGAAAATGTGTTGGAAGAAAGATGAACATTGATTGTAGATCCTGGTATACGAATTATTGAGCTCCTTAGGGAGACTTCCAAGAACTAGTTTGTAGCAGGAACACAAGTGATTTTATTTCTCTTTACCTGTAAACCTGAAAATGCACTGCTAATGCTCATGTAAATCAGCCTAAAATAGTCTCTTGTTAATTTAAGTCTTGCTACTAGATAAGACATCTGTTAAACGTAACTTCTGCAATGCTTTCGGAAGAACACCTTTTTTTTTTTTTTTTAAAAAAAGGAAGTTTGAGTAAAAGTATCTTTTCCTGTTATTGAAAGTGGCAGTACTTACACATTCTCTTGTATCTGGACATCTAACAAGATGTGGAAATTGTCTGCAACGTAATCCATTTCTTTTCCAGCAGCTGATGCTTTAAAGCTGTGTGTGAATTTACTTGCTTTAAGGTTGGATCTGTGCACACTGTGCAATTATATGTTACGTTTTATCTAAGGATTTCAAAGCATTATAAAAGACTTAAACAACGAGGAGTCGGGTGGCACCAAAGTGTGGGTTTTTTTACTCACGAAAGCTTATGCCCAAATAAATCTGTTAGTCTTTAAGATGCCACCGGATTCCTCATTGTTTCTGTGGATACAGACTAACACGGCTACCCCTCTGATATAAGACTTAAGACTTTCAGTGCCATTGCAAGGTGTTACCTGACAATGAAATTTCACTGCTGCACAGCTAAATTGTAGAAGAAAAATAATTGAAGGGTCTCCAGGGCAAACCTGTTCAATGCTTGCCTTCAAGTAGTTGAAACAAATGGTTTTTTGAAATGTGGACAGTTTATATCGTATTATATTCTCTCTTGAAATGGTTACTTACTATTGGACTTCACAAAATATTGAGTGAATGTCAATTTGAAAGTGAAATTGATTTGAAATTAACATTTCTGCGGCAACACCAGATAAAATTTCTGGTGCCAAACATATTGAGAAGTGTGTGATATTAGTACCAGGTTTTTATTCTGTTCATGCATTAAAATTGTTTGATTAGCTCAGTTCATGATAATAGCCTTTGAAGACTAGTAAATATACTGTCCCGCAGAAGTAGTGACTGGCCATTAGTCTTTCCCTTGAGCTTCAAGTTATTATACTTAATCTGAGGAATAGCGTTAAGTTCTGTTATTAAGGATTATGTAGTTCAGTCCTCAGCAAGACCAGTTATACAACTATACTGGATAAAGAATTAACTCTTATTCTTACAGAAAATGGGCTTGAACTGAATAACTTTTCCTAAAATGTAACATCTGTTCACCTTCTGTAAGAGTAGTAAAAGCCTCAAATAATTTTTATCTGTTTTCTTCTATAAAACCTTTTGTTCTAGTAAAATTATAGATGAAAGTATCTGAAAATATGCTCACTACAATATTTTCGTTGTCTGCAGTATTGGGAAGGCAACAATGCATCAGTTTAAACTTGGGTCACTTTTGTAAAATTATGTTCAATCATAAGGGCTAGAAACCTGAGTCCTGTTTTTTTCAATCGTGTGTGTACGTACATATGTACACCTGTTGTCCATGCGCTGTCCCATTAAACTCTTTGGAGTACGAGACATGTAGATTGAATTGCAAGATTGGGACCTTCCTTCCTTCAACAAATTAAGCCTTTTTTTTTTATTATTATTAATTGGTGATTTTGTCCTCCAGGCTTGTTAGGGAAAGCTTCTTGCTCACTGTGGCTAGTTGATTTTTTTTTTTTCCCCGTCAGGCCCAGACTATTGTCCATGTGAGATTTACTTCTGATATCAGGACTTATTCAAGGAGCTCTGTAATGCAGCCTGTAGCTCTTCTTCTTCTTAAGTGCTTGCTTCTGCTCAGAGTTGCACTGGTTTAACTTAAGATGTGATTTTTAATTTTTTTTTTAATTTTCTTTCAAATCCAGTTTGTAGAGGGTTTGGGGGACACTTATTTCGATTTTACTTAAACCTGTTTCTAATAGCAGATCTAAGGCTAAATCAAAATAAGCGACTGTGATAGGGCCAGTCACCTCACGTGAGCCCCTCCTATCGCATATGCGTGTGCCTGCTCTCTCTCAGCTCTTATGGTGCTCTCTGTTGGCAGCATCACTTTTCAGGTGGATTTTCAGTGGCTCAACCCTCCGGCAGAGTCACACACACTCCATTTGTGAAACAAAATAGACTCCTTCTGGCATAAACAGTCCAGTGGGGCCTATCACAGCACCCTTGTTCGTCTTTTGCAGTCCTCCCTGGGCTCAGACCTTCATCAGTCCAAAAAGACCTAACCCTAGTACCCTGGTTGGTATCCACGGCCACTCCAAGGCTAGATCTCAAATAGTTCCTTCTCTGGGATGGAGCAGTGCCCCCAGGCTTCCTCTCTGGAGACTCTTCATTCTATAGTGAGCCTCAAGATCTCCAGCTGAGTCGCTTTTTCAGTTCAGTTCATCCCCCTTCTGGGGTATTAAAGTTCAATACATAATGATCCCTTTGGCGTCTTCAGCCCCTTCCCAGGGCCTGTGTAAACTCTCTTCTCAAGGCACTTAGTCACTTCCCCTCTGGCTGGTGGGGGGAACCTGGGCCCGCCCACTACACCAGGTCCCAACCCAAGGACCCTGCAAATAGCAACCACCTGCTGCATCCCTTTAACCCCAGGGTCTCAAACTCAAATGACCATGAGGGCCACATGAGGATTAGTACGTTGGCCCGAGGGCCGCACCACTGACCACCCCTGCTGTCCCGGTCACGCCCCCACTCCACCCCTTCCTTGAGGCCCCGCCCCTGCCCCACCTCTTCCCACCCCTTCCCTGAAATCCCCACCCCAACCCTGTCTCCTCCCTGCTCCCAGGGGGTGCAGGAGGGCTGTAGGGTGCGACAGGGGGCTCAGGGCAGGGGGTCAGGGTGCAGAGTGGGGCAGGGTGTCAGGGTGCACAGGCGGCTCAGGGCAGGGGGTTGGGGTGCAGGAGGGATGTGGGGTGCGGCAGGGGGCTCAGGGCAGGGGGTTGGGGTGCTGGAGGGGTGTGGGGTGCAGCAGGGGGCTCGGGGCAGGGGGTTTGGCTGCAGGAGGGGATCGGGGGGCGGGTCCGGCCCGGTGCGCACTAGGGGCAGGGCAGGCTGCCTGCCTGCCCTAGCCCCGTGCCGCTCCGGGAAGCGGCTGGGACCTGGGGGGGGGGGGCACAGGGGTATGTGTGTTGCCCTGGCCGCACCTCCAGGTACCTCCCCTGAAGCTTCCTTTGGCTGGGAACAGGGAACCGCGGCCAATGGGAGCTTCGGGGGAGGTACCTAGAGGAGCTGCCAGGACAACACACAGACCCCTGTGCCCCCCCTCCCCAGGTCTCGGCCGCTTCCCGGCGCGGGGGCAGGGCAGGCAGGGAGGGAGGCTTCCCTGCCCCTGGTGCTCACCAGGCCAGACCCGCTCTAGGTAAATGCTGGGGGGGGGGCCGCGGGGAGCTGGCGGGCCTCAGAAAATAACCCCACAGGTTGCATGTTTGAGACCCCTGCTTTAACCTGTTGCTGCTACTGTTCCCTGGACCACTTTTCCCCATGCTCCCAGCATGTTCAGCTTCACCCTTACCTTGGGCTGAAGTCTTGCTTGAGTCCCAGCAGCCAGCTAGAAGCATCTTCCTTGCTCCCCTGGTCCCTTCTGGCAACTGCTCTGTCCAGGTACTGGAACTGCTGCAATGAGCCAGGAGGACCACCCATGCTCTTCTGGCTCTAGCCAGCAACTGAGTCTACTTAGGCCCAGCAGCTCCTTTCATGTGAGGCTTCTGGGCTCTGGTTCCTTCCCTGCAGCCTCTATTTTAATTGACTGCTTTTGATGCAGTCTCTCTCTCAGCCTTTTGGGAGGACAAACCTCTTCTGCTCTTTTCCTGGGGCAGGGTGTGGTAGGACTGTGAAACCTCCAAGCGGTGGGCCTTTGGGTTTAGTACACCTTATCACAGCCATTCTTAAATTTGAGTGTCTACACTGGACTTTGCACTGGTTTAACTAAGGGCTTGTCTAAATACACAAGTTTTGCACCAGTTTAACTAAAATTGTGATGTTGAACCAGCTGAGTTAAACTGGTGCAATTTTGGCCATGTCTTTACTAAGGAAAAAAGACATTGGCTAATATGTTAAAATCCTAATATAGACCAGGCAAGCTGTAGTTTTAATATGTATTAGTTGGTCAAAGTGCAGCCTAAGGGGGAGCCAAGGGTATACTTTAACCAGCTAGCACATGTTAAAACTACAGCCTGGTCTACATTAGGCTTTTTTACGTATTAGCTAACATATGTGAAAAACACACCTCTTTTCTGAGTGTAAACCTTTATGTGGACATTCTTACATTCAGGTTTAAACCAAACTATGTCTATACCCAAAGTTGCATTAGCTAAATCAGTTTTACATCACACTTTAGTAAACCCTATGCAACTTTGTGTAGATATGGCCTAAGAAGTTGATCCTGCAAGGAGCTGACCACACTTCACTCTAGTGCTTAGCGCTTTATGAGATGCTTGACGCTTTGCATGATTGGGTCCTAATAAGTATATGTGGCCCGTACAGACTTGTTTTCAGGATTTGATTTTTTCTCTTGATCAGAATAGTGGTGCAAGGACACTTAAGCTTGTCTGCACTTAAAATTTATATTGGCATATAGCTATTTCAGTCAGAGTGTGAAAAAACCACATCCCTGACTGACTTGACTTAGCCAGCAAAACTTGGAGTGTAGATGCAGCTACTGTGACAGAAGAGGGCTTCTGGTGGCGTAGATAATTTTGTTTGGGGAGGTGGTGTTCTTACACCAACAGAAAGTTTTTCTGCCAGTGTATGCTGGTTTGCAGTGGGGGCCATGCCAGCATAGGCTCTGTAGTGTAGACATAGCCTTAGAAAAGTACAGTTCAAAGGTACCCTTTATTAATTCAGTTAGATGGATAATCTTGACCTCCTATTACTGTGACAGATTAGGAGAATTCAGTAGCTGTAGTAGAATATACCTGTCTTAGTACAAGTGGCACTGATTTAATTAAAGGACTATACAGTTCAACTAAAATAACATTTCTATTTTGTTTCATAGGGTCTTGGAAACTCTCAGAGGGAGTATGAAAAGCAGGTTGTACTCTATAGTATTCGTAATCAGCTACGATACCGAAATAACTTAGGTGAGTGTGGAAGACTGATAACTTCAATTTGATAACTTACTCTACTTATAAAGCCTTCGTTTGAATGTACTGTGATCTTTAATAGCTTACAAAAGTATGTCACTGAAATTACTATAGACCTGTCAGAACCAACTCAAGCCTCCAAATTTCCGCCAAAAAAGACCCCAGCAAAACACCCTTTTAATGCTAGAACCCCAAAAGTAAATTTAACTTTGAAATCCACCTAACTGCAGTGACTTCTTTGTGGAATGCACCTTTCAGACTCTGCAGGTTTCCAAGTGAAGCTTATGATGGCCGACTTAGTAAGTCTCATGTGTGCCATCTGAGCCCTTCAAACAAGGTTAGGGCTTGTTAATGGAGGACTTAACTAATTTACAGCCATGATGTCAAAGGAAGTATCCCTGTAGAGCAGTCGTTCCCAAACTTGTTCCGCCGCTTGTGCAGGGAAAGCCCCTGGCGGGCCGTGCTGGTTTGTTTAGCTGCCGTGTCCACAGGTTTGGCTGATCGTGGCTCCCAGTGGTCGCAGTTTGCTGCTCCAGGCCAATGGGAGCTGCTGGAAGCGGCGGCCAGCATGTCTTTCGGACCATGCCGCTTCCAGCAGCTCCCATTGGCCTAGAGCAGCGAACCATGGCCAGTGGGAGCCGCAATCAGCCGAACCTGCGGACGCGGCAGGTAAACAAACCGGTGCGGCCCGCCAGGGGCTTTGCCTGCGCAAGCAGCGGAACAAGTTTGGGAACCACTGCTCTAGAAGGAGCCCAGACAGGTACAAAGAAGAAGGCCTGGGGTCCAAGCTGTTTGACATAGAATTCTCATTGGATTCACACCGCTTTTACTCACTTTCTCTTCTGTAGTGGACAAAGCTCTTGCTGCTTTAAAAGGAGGTGTGCTGGCAACTCCAGGCATTCTAAATCATGAACATGAGTGTATATTTTAGCCTCTTTTCATGTCTGTTTATGCCAGAATGGCATGTCTCATTTAGAAATGAGATACATAATAAACCAAACAATAAGCTTATCTATCATTGCTGAAAATGGATTGCTCCATACAATATATTATTCAGTGCTACGTTTTAGTTAGCTTTACATTACTCTCATTGGGTTTTCACTATTTCCTGGTGAGATTATTTAGTAGCTTAATAGCTAATCTTATCACAAGTAATCTTTCTGGTTTCCAACCTTATCCTGAGAGGCTCTGAGCACCTGCATCTCCTATAGAAGTTAATAGCAGATGGTGGTGCTCAACATCTTTGGATCCCCCTTTTATTTCTTAAGTCAATTTCATAGCATTTTACGACTAACCTTTTTTGTGTGTTGCCATGCAGTTTAAGTGTAAAAATATAATCTCTGCACCATTTTGAGAGAACAGTGTAACAGAATATTAGCCTGACCTTTTCTCCCCCCAGTTAAGCATGTCAAGAAAGAAGAACGAAAATACTATGAGGAACTGTTAAAATACAGTAGAGATCATCTCATGCTGTACCCTTACCATTTGTCTGACATCATGGTAAAAGGCCTGAGGATAACACCATTTTCGTATTACACAGGAATAATGGAGGTGAGTTTGGGAACAGAATTAAAACAAAACATGTCATGCTCTGTCCTTTGAGAAATGCTTTTTGTAGCATTGTAATGTCTGCCAGCCAGTCAAATGACTGTTATTGTTTGCTCTTGGAGAGACTGCTGCTGCTAATGAGCCGCATGAAGGAAAGCTTCTTCAGAACTGTGCTGATAATCACAACTCAGCCTACCCCTATGTATATAAATCTCCCCACTGTATTTTCCACTGAATGCATCCGATGAAGTGAGCTGTAGCTCACGAAAGCTTGTGCTCAAATAAATTTGTTAGTCTCTAAGGTGCCACAAGTACTCCTTTTCTTTTTGCGAATACAGACTAACACGGCTGCTACTCTGAAATCTGCAGAGCTAGGGATTGGCAACTGCAGTTGGATGGGAAATTGTTTTCCAGTCCTGAATCAATTGAAAACTCCTAATTTTTTGCAAACTGAAAATCCCAAAAATTTCAGATTGAATCAATCAAAACATTTTATTTCAATTATGACCTTTTAAACTTTTAAGTTAATTTGCAGTAAAAAAAAAAAAAGTCAAAACAAAAAGTCATGCTGACCTGAAAAAAATGGAACTTTTTCATTCGGAAAATGTCAAAACAGCCCATTCTGACAACTTTGAAACATCTAAAAAATGTTCAAAATGAGAAATTTGTCAAAACTGACTCTCTTTTACAGTTTTGGTGAATTGGCATTTTTCATCAAAAAATGCCCAACCAGCTCTGCTGGCAACCTTCTGTCATTTCTCTTGGGTGCAGTACACATAATATTTTGTCATTTGAGTAAAAGATGCATACAGTTTAATGTAGAACAAATTGATAATTGTTATTGTGATTACTATTAGCTACTTTCATTAGTGCTTTTTTCTTCCCCTGTTTGGTTGAACATCTCCAGTTTTACGACTTTAATGGAAATAGACTTAGACCCTTAGTAATTTGCCTGTCAGGCTTTCTGGGGTTTTTACAATATAACTTTTTAAGGGATCTGATCATCATTAATAGTAAGCATATAATTTTTGGTACAGTTCTCACATCACTTTTACAGTAAGCCAGATCTCTCAAAAGTGCTAACTGATTTTAGCAGGCTAGATTTTCTTCCTCAAATTCTTCAATTTGAGGGATAGATTTTTATATTGAAAATGCACACATTATTTTAGGTTTTAAATGCTCATTGATATCAAAGAAATGCCCCTTTCTGAAATAGTGGACTACATTGGTCCAAAACTGTGTTTCATGCTACAAATTAAGCTTTTTTCTTTTCTGTGTGTTGTTTTTTAAAGGATATAATGAACAGTGAAAAAAGCTACGATTCATTGCCTAACTTTACTGCTGCTGACTGTAAGTATTTTCTGGCTGCATTCTTATGTTTAGCGAGGTAGATAAATGCAGTTTCTGAAAACAGTTTGAAGGCTTCAGTTGCATCGCAGCTTCTTTTTAAAGGTGTAGCACCTGTAAGTAGTAGTTTTGAAGTAGGGGTGTCTCTTCATGCAGAGTTATCCTCTGCTGTGTCCTCATTGGTACTGGATTCCTGTGTTAATAGGACTTCTGGGGACATAATCCATGGTTCTGTGTGCTGCCGTAATCTGGGCTGCTCTGTGATTTTCCCGGTGAATTGTCGGAGAACTTGTCTGTCCTTCTGGGCACATGGTGTGAGAGAATTGTAGGAAGGCACAGCAGGAATATCAGCACTCAAGTTAGCTGGTATCCTCACCATAGGCACCAACTTCCCCGCTGCCTGGTGGGTGCTCGACCCCGCCCCTCTTCCATCCCCTACACCGCCCTTGTCCCACCCTCTTCCCCCAAGTCCCCACCCCTGCCCTGCCTCTTCTCCACCTCCTCCCCTGAGCACAACCCTTCCCCGCTCCTCCCCCTCCTTCCCTCCCTCCTAAAAAGTCCTAAGCACCACCAAACAGCTATTAGACGGTGGGAGGGCGGGAAGTGCTGGGAGGGAGGGGAGGAGCAGGGACGCGGCGCACTCAGGTGTGGGGAGAAGGAGGCGAGGAGTGGGGAGCTTGGCTGCCAGTGGATGCAGAGCACCCGCTAATTTTTCCCTTTTTTAAAATTTTTGTAACCTTAGTCATGGAAGTGAGTATTAAATGTCTAGCCGTTTTAAAAATCCAGCTAACTCAGTAGTGTCTGGTGTTGGCATAGTTATTACTACCAGCTGACTGAAGGTAAGGCTGAGGTGATGAAGATGTTGGACAGATCTTGGTGATTCTTTTCTTTCTGTGCTGTGACTCTTGTGTCATAAAATAAAAAACATAAGTTTACATTTGTTTTTCTTCTGACTATATAAAGTAAGATGACAGGGAATCATCATCAAGTGGGTGTGTTTCCAGTGGGGTCCTGCAGGGATTGGTTCTTGGTCCTATGCTATTTAACATATTTATCAATGACCGGAAGAAAACACAAAATCATCACTGTTCAAGTTTGCAGATGACACAAAAACTGAGGGAGTTGTAAATAATGAAAAGGACAGGTCCCCACTGGTTCAGAGCTATCTGGATAGGCTACTGGGTGCAAGCAAACATTATGTGTTTTAATATGACTAAATGTAAATATATAAGAGCAAAGAGTGTAGGCTATACTTTACTTTATCCTGGGAAGCAGTGACTGAAGAAGATTTGGGGGTCATGATCGGTAATCATGAACACGAGCTCCCAAGGTGATTCTATGGCCAAAACAGCTAATGTGATCCTGGGATGCATTAACAGGGGAATCTTGTGTAGGAGTAGAGAGATCATTTTACCTGTGTATTTGGCACTGGTGTGACTGCTGCTGGAATACTGTATCCAGTATTCCAGCAGCCCACAATTAAAGAAGGATGTTGAAAAATTGGAGAGGTTTCAGAGAAGAACCACAAAAATGATTAAAACATTAGGAAACATGCCTTACAGTGGTAGATTCAAAGAGCTCAATCTGTTTACCTTAACAGAGAGAAAGTTAAGGGGTGACTTGATTTACAGTCTATACGTATCTATATGGGAAACAAATATTGAATGATCGGCTCTTCAGTATATCAGAAAACATAACAAGTATAACATGATCCACTGTCTGGAAAGTGAAGCTAGACAAATTCAGATTGGAAATAAGGTGTGACTTTTTGACAATTTTTGCCCATTAAATAATCAGACAATTTACCAAGGATCTTGGTGGATTCTCCATCAGTGACAATTTTAAAATCTAAGTTGGGTGATTTTTAAAAAAAATCTGTTCTAGAAATTATCTTGGGGAAGTTCGATGGCCTGTGTTATGTAGGAGGTGAGACTAGATGGTCACAATGGTCCCTTCTGACCTTGGAATCTATGAATTCCAAGCAAAAGAAATGAATGGGGCCAAATTCTGCTCTTGGGCAGAGATGTAGCTACCATGAAGTAAGCAGGATCTATTTTTGGTGCTGTTTACCTCTTTCTTTAGAAAAAAAGAAGGAAGTATTGAAAACATTCTTGATATTCAGAACTACTTTTAAAAATGAGAATAATATGTTCTCACATCTTCAATTAAAAATAGACTTTTTTCCCAAGTAAAATCAAACATTTACTTTTCAGGTCTACGGCTTCTTGGTATAGGAAGAAACCAGTATATTGATCTAATGAACCAGTGCAGGTCATCAAAAGTAAGTTTTGTTCTTAATTTTCTTTCCGTGAGTCCTGCCTCTCCATGCCTGGCTCCATCTTGACAAAACTGTTCTAGATGGGGGTAGGATGCCATGTGCCTCTTTAGTAAAATTATAATTAATCAAATAATAATACACTAACATATGTATGTTTCTTCAAAGCTATTAAAATATCTTTGTTAATTGTGGTAAAAAGCAAAAAAAAAATTAGAAAAAAATTTCTGCAGCTTCTTGTTATTTTATTACTACTTAAGTGCTACATTTTGTCTAAGGCCTTCTCTAGACAAAGACAAGGGGCTAAATTCTCCGTTGACTAGTATAAATCTGAAGTAATTCCATTGGTATTGGTGGAGTTATTCCATATTTATACTGGTATAATTGAGAGCAGAATTTTCTCTGGTGTGTGTCTCAAAAAGCTTATCAAAGTAGCTAATGTAAATTCTATTTAGTTTCAGAGGAACAGCCGTGTTAGTCTGTATTCGCAAAAAGAAAAGGAGTACTTGTGGCACCTTAGAGACTAACCAATTTATTTGAGCATGAGCTTTCGTGAGCTACAGCTCACTTCATCAGATGTTTACCGTGGAAACTGCAGCAGACTTTATATACGTGTGTATATAAAGTCTGCTGCAGTTTCCACGGTAAACATCTGATGAAGTGAGCTGTAGCTCACGAAAGCTCATGCTCAAATAAATTGGTTAGTCTCTAAGGTGCCACAAGTACTCCTTTTCTATTTAGTTTGTATACTAGTCACCTTGTTTGAGAATGCAGTGTTGGGTCTGATCATTCAGCCCTTTTTTTGTGTATGATCAGTTTCACTGATGACATCAAGATTAATCTCATGATTGATGTCTGCATGATCTGGCCCTTTTACAAGCTCAGTTTACAATAATAATTTCCTTTTTAAGAATGTAATAAGTAATTCATAAGTGCTCTGTCTGCAGTTACAGCATTGCGCCTTTGGCCAAAGGATTGTGTATCCAAGTTGAAAGAGATTTAGTGTAGGCTGAGGGAAGCAAAAAGGTTAGGGGCCTGCTTTATAGAATGTGAGAAGAGTAATCTTAACCATATCAGTACAACAGTACCCTCTAGCTGTTCTTTCATGAACTGAAGTTTATAGTAGCTTGTAGCTCATCTGGAACACAGTGTAATCGTTGTCTGTTGATAGAAATAAACAGAATACATGTTCTTATGATGCATTGCTTATTAGTTTTGTAAAGTATTCTGCCTACAAAAACACTCCATTTGATATGTTGTATGCTATCCTGTATCTTCAGGCTCTGCTTTTTTGCTAATAAAATGCTAGTGTGCTTTTAATAGTTAGGCCTGGACTTCATGCTAGCAGACTTGAGTACACACACAAATGGTTTGTTTTCATTTTCCCATTTTTATTTGGTTTGGAGTGGAGAGAATGTATTTTAAAAAAAAAAAAAAAAAAGTCTGTATCCCTGTGTGCTATATTCATGTGCATTCCGTGACCTTAGGGGATTAGGAATAAAAATCGGCAGCTTTCCCACATCCCAAGGTATCCTGCAATGTTTGTTTAATGCCTAAGTATGAAGTACTTAGAGAGTAATCATTCACAAGTAGCTGTTTTTATGGTGTAAAGGAAACTGGAACATCTCTATTTGTAATCAATAACATTTAACATGTACAATCTCAAATGGACTGTACCACTGCAGAAATTTTTCAGAAGGAAAACTGCTCGTGATCTGCTACCAGTAAAGCCAGTGGAGATTGCCGTAGAGGCCTGGTGGGTGGTGCAGGCTGGCTACATCACAGAGGATGACATTAAGGTATTGTGTGTTTAGCCAAATTTAGACATTGCTAATTACTGAGAAAATGGGGGAAGATTATAAATCTGTACTGTTTATCTCTTAATGCAGTAGAATCTCTTATGGAAATAGTGGTAAGGGTATTTTTTATTGGTATACTTTCTCTTTTCCTATGAATTCTGACTTCTGGGTTATATAGTATGAGGAAACTTATTTCAGCATGAGTGCGAAAGACATTTTTCCCTGAAGGAATGTCCATAAACTGTATGATGCATATGTCTTAAGAAACAAAATGAATCAACTATATTATGTTGCTGGTTTCATTTAGATTGTAAATTGTTCAAAGCAGGAATTGAATGTTTGGATGGAATCTAGTACATTTCAGATACAGTTTATTTGTATTCCAAAATCCCATAACTGTAAAATGATTTAAATAGAGGTGTTGTATTTAGATCTGAAACTTAATCTGTTTTAGAACTGTTATAGTTAAATAAGTTGTATTGAAGATACACAACCCTACTTAATGGTTGAGCACTGTATCATCAGTGAATTTTAAAATCTCTCTTTTAGTCTGAACTTCACTTGCTAAATCTTCAGCAAGCAGTAAACTAAATACAGATTCCAGAGGTGTGCATAATCTTGTGATGAGGTTACTTCTGCAGAGATAAGAGTAACAAACTAGACAACTGTGGCAAGCTTAAATCTGTGGTTCATATACTGACTTCCTTGTGTAAAGATGCCTTTATTAGTTTTCACTGACTTAAAGCTGAAAACTTTTCATTCTGAGTGACGTATGTAAAAAGCGTAGACAGATCTTACTAGAAATTAACATGTTTTCTTTTACATAGATTTGTACTACATCTGAGAAATCTGTTATTGACAAGATAATTGATTCAGGTCCTCAACTTGCTGGATCACTAGACTACAATGTAGTTCACAGTAAGTGTTTAACAAATGTGGCATTTCTTTCTACTGTAGAATTTATTGAGGAAAAATTTGAGGACTAGTATTTTAAACTAGTAATAAAAGGAAATAGGAGGCTGAAGCATTTAGGACAGCTAAGAGATGAAGCAAAATATTATGGAATAAAACAAGAGTGGAGGAAATCACCTATAAATAATGTTTTCTAAATAGTATAACACTGATTCTTAGCGGTATATATTTATTTTGGCAGCTGTCACTCTATTTCTATTTGAAATGATACAATGACTTTCCCACAGCGACATCTAAAAAGCTCATACTTATGCAATTTGTAGATATCAAGGTTGTGTTGACCCAAATGAGGGAGAGGGACATTATTTCAATTTGCTGTTATTCATCAAATGTATACTATTTGGGGAGGGGAGAGCTTTTAAAATAGTAATTGATTCTGTTGTGAAGAGCACTATTAGATAGCAAACATGGGACTCTTTTAAGAATATTATGATCTGGTGAGGACAATCTCTTGTTGATTTCCCAAAGGTCTACCACTCTATTGCTGAGAACCTGTGTGTGTTTCCATTGTTTTTGTAGAAACAACAATATTCTGAGTCATGTCCTCATGCCAGCAGAGGGAGCCCAAAATGACTAACAAACCCTCTTCCCTGAGCTGTCTGTATCTAAATCATTGGTGGCATTGATGCTGCTGATCTATACTGTATATTTCCCATAAGAAGAGCAGGAAGAAATTCAGTTTCAGAGTAGCAGCCGTGTTAGTCTGTGATTCGCAAAAAGAAAAGGAGTACTTGTGGCACCTTAGAGACTAACCAATTTATTTGAGCATAAGCTTTCGTGAGCTACAGCTCACTTCATCGGATGCATAAAAGTGGAAAATGCAGTGAGGATGTTTTTATACACACAGATCATGAAAAAATGGGTGTTTATCACTTCAAAAGGTTTTCTCTCCGATGAAGTGAGCTGTATCCGATGAAGTGAGCTGTAGCTCACGAAAGCTTATGCTCAAATAAATTGGTTAGTCTCTAAGGTGCCACGAGTCCTCCTTTTCTTTTTAAGAAATTCAGCGTTTGCTAAATGGAACAGGACAAACTCTGTAGAAAGAGTGAGGGAGATTAATTTCAAGCTTCTGAGTAGATGTAAGAACAGTAGAGGGTTTAAGAAAAGCAAAAACTATGAAAATGCTTGACAGCGACCCTCCAAGGTATTTAGGGCTAAGTGCTGCCTGTACTTGACGAAAGAAAATGGTGCAAACTCAATGTACAAATAGCAGTGTGCCCAACGTGGGTGTGCAGAGGGATCGTGCCCTGTCTCATGGGTGGAAAAAGCAAATGTGGACCACCAATGGCATGGGCTTTTAAGGGGACAAGTGTTTGGTTGGCCTAAAATCTGTTGTGTGTACGCTGCCATACACAGCAAGTGAGAGCCTGCTCCAGTAATGAACATGGCACCTTGAGAAAGCAGTAAAAAGCACGCCACTTTGGGTTATGTCAGCTTGCCGTGTGTCCTCCTGGCCTATGACAACAGGCTGTCTTGCATTACATGTGCTTAACAGCCTGCCTGGGTATGTGTTGCTCCCTACTCTGTGCAGGCTTGTCAGTGTGTAGTCCATTATATATTGTGTGTATCTTTATTTTTAGAAGGCAATGCAATTCCTAACATAAGCCAGAAGTCCAGTCTGAACTCAATTTAGTAAATCTGTATTATTAAATACGATGTACAGCTGCAACTCAAATCCCTACTGTGCTAAAACTGTATCTTATCAAGCTTGCTTGCCTGGTTGGCTGTTGACTTGGCAATTTACTTGTGAAAATTTCTACTGTTTCTCATAATATTTTCAGTGCTAAATAGTTAAGAGTAAATAAATGATTCTTGGAGGTGTTAACTTTTGAGGTAGTTAGCCTCAAATATCCTATCATGGGCTAAAGAAAACACTTGGATACAAGAATGAGTTAAATAAAAACACACACACACATTTAAAAATTGAGTGCTGATAGTGTCCTTTCTGCTGTACTGAACAGGGAGTAGATAAGGTCAGAGATAAACAAAAGGCAATAAATCAGACACCTAATACATTGGGTGATCAAGGTTTGTGCTTTATTCGCTCATGATACAATTCTTAGAGTTAACGGTCAGGGTTCTCAAGTTATGCTGAAATGTGCTCTCTTGGTCTTGCCCTTTGAAATCCCTCTCCATAGTTAGGTTTATGCTGCACAATTAACCTGGGTGATTGGCACCCAGGTTGAGCACTCAGGTTATGTTAGTCTTGATGTGAATATCACCACTACAAAGGCATGAGTATCCCCACTACAAAGGCATACCTTCATTACTGTGACCTCACTATTTATTCATGCCCGTGTATATTGGGGGCACATGCCATGGCTGTCTGTACTGAGACGCTGTAGGATTGGTTCCCAGTCATTTGTGAGATAACTTGTCTGTCCTTCAGGTGGGGGTGGATTGTGGGAAGGCATTGGAGGACTATCAGCATTCGAGTGAGTTAAGTCTGCGTCTTCAGTGTGGGTTCCTGCCCAATTAAAAGTAGAGCCCAGCCTCTAACCCACACCCCCAGCCAGGAAAAGAGGTCTTTCTGTGTGGATGGTAGAGGGTAAACGCTAAAACTCAAGAATCCAGATTAACTGTTGTGTAGCTATACCCCATGTTTCTGCAATAAACATAATTGCCTCAATTTCTGATCACCCTTCTTTCCACACCCTGTTACCTTCCTAATCCCTGTTTCTGAAGTAAATATATGGTTGAGAGTCAAATTGTACCTTGCCTTTATGCTGTGAATAATTTAGGATTCTGCTTCAGTGTAATGTAGTTAATGTTCTGTTTAGTCTTCTGGTCTGTGCATAGCTGTATAATTGTATATCATTCGGGAGAGTTGGGTGGGAGACGTTAAACCTTCCTGAATTGTTTGAAAAAAAATGTAGCGTCTACTAGTATCATTAGTACTTGGGTAAACATCTTTGTAAAATGACATACCTTTTTTATTTTTAAAGGTTTATATAACAAAGGATTTATTTACCTTGATGTACCAATATCTGATGACAGTTGTATAGCAGGTGAGTGTATGTTTTAGCAGTAGTAGCTATGTTTTTTGGAAGAGATTCATTCCAGATAATTTAGGTTTCCTTTTTTTGGGTGTTGCTTGTCTTTTTCTATTAAAGTGACCTATTTAAACATAATACCAAGATGGATGAAAACTCTTCTTGTTTATTCAGTGGCTTTCCAACTTGCTGCTAAAAATGTGTCCTTTATCCTGATGCTAATATTTATTTATTTTCAATTAATATTTCTGTCTGAAATAATTAAGCTGCTTTTAACATAGGTAGAGAGGAAGACATGTCCTTGAAGACATTTAAGTATAATTTAAACAATTGTCCTTGTTTTGTTGTATCTGCAGTTAACAAGGATACTATAAATGTAGAAACTTAACCATATTAAAAAAAAATCTGTCTAGAAGAGGGACCTTTTCCTTCTGATTCAGTTAATATTCATAGTACTGGTTGCTTATTCACTTCCATCGTTCATGCCTCTGTCACCTCAAAATTTGATTACTGTAATGTGCTGTCCTTTAGGACCATGTGGAAACTTGAGCTTCTACAGAATGTGGCTGTCCACTGGATAAATGGGGCAACATTCAGGGAGCAATTACTATTATTTTGAGTACTGCACTAGCTCTCAAGATATTTGGGATGGAATTTCAAGGACAAGGTTTAATTGTGTTTGGTTTAAGTGGTTTGGGAGCTGGTTACAGAGGGACCACCTCACACTGCTACAGTTTAGACCTGGCAAGACACTGAACCTGCAGTTGGGTCCTCAACTCTTTACTTCTCTCCTTTTTCCACCACAGTCCAGACATATTAACCATTCAGACATGGTACACAGCTAGTCTCTTTCATAGACCTTTTAAGTAGACTGGGAGTTTTTACAGGTGGATGGGCTGGTGGCTGACTGCAGGATGATTTAGGTGGGGTCTTATGATACAGCTGGGCAGAATGGCTTTAGTTATTGTGGGAGAATATATCAGCAGGAAATTTTTTGATTAGAAAGTTGCTGAATGAAAATATTTCATAGAATGATTTTAGATTTTTAACTGTGTTTAAGTTGTGGGAGGTGTGTGAAGTTGGAAAGGCACCAGAGAAACTGAAAGAATAAATCTTAACTTGGAGGAAAAATATTGTAAATTACCCCTGTCATAAATATAAAGGGAAGGGTAAACACCTTTAAAATCCCTCCTGGCCAGAGGAAAAACCCTTTCACCTGTAAAGGGTTAAGAAGCTAGGATAACCTTGCTGGCACCTGACCACAATGACCAGTGAGGAGACAAGATACTTTCAAAGCTGGAGGGGGGAGAAACAAAGGGTCTGGGTCTGTCTGTGTGATGCTTTTGCCGGGAACAGAACAGGAATGGAGCCTTAGAACTTAGTAAGTAATCTAGCTAGATATTCGTTAGATTCTGTTTGTTTAAATGGCTGAGAAAATAAGCTGTGCTAAATGGAATGGATATTCCTGTCTTTGTGTCTTTTTGTAACTTAAGGTTTTGCCTAGAGGGATTCTCTATGTTTTGAATCTAATTACCCTGTAAGGTATTTACCATCCTGATTTTACGGAGGTGTTTCTTTTTACTTTTTCTTCTATTAAAATTCTTCTTTTAAGAAAATGAATGCTTTTTCATTGTTCTTAAGATCCAAGGGTTTGGGTCTGTGGTCACCTATGCAAATGGGTGAGGATTTTTATCAGACCTTCCCCAGGAAGGGGGGGTGCGAGGTGTTGGTGAGGATTTTTGGGGAAAAGACGTTTCCAAACGGGCTCTTTCCTAATAAAATAAAACCGGTTAGACGTTTGGTGGTGGCAGCGAAAGTCCAAGGGCAAAAGGTAAAATAGTTTGTACCTTGGGGAAGTTTTAACCTAAGCTGGTAAAAGTAAGCTTAGGAGGTTTTCATGCAGGTCCCCACATCTGTACCCTAGAGTTCAGAGTGGGGAAGGAACCTTGACAACCCCATAGTCTGAACTAGAATAAAATTTAGTTCGGTTATTTTAAAAAAATCTTTCAGCTTTTAAGCAGTCAAAATACTCTGAAAACTTACATCTCTTAAACCATAGTATTAAAATAATTCTTCCTTCCAGTGCCTCCACTTGAAGGTTTTGTAATGAACAGAGTGCAAGGTGATTACTTTGAAACTCTTCTCTACAAGATATTTGTTTCAATAGATGAACACACTAATGTGGCAGAGGTAAGTAATGCTTAGTTTGTTTCTGCATCAGGAGGGTGGAGGAAACTGGAAGGGCCAGTAAAACAGGCTGGTGAAGTACCTGAAAGACAGATAGAGAGAAATGCATTTCCTATTGTCAGTGTCCATCTCCACAGCCATATGACTGTATGTAGCTTTCCAGAGATGAGTCTAGGGATAAGAAATTTGAAACAATATTCAGTGCTTTATGGAATGTGCTAGTTGCTTTTTTTAAAAAAAATATTAAGAAGTACACAACTTTTTTTTTCATAAATAGCACTACAATTCCCTTGGCAAAAAGAGCAGTGCATAGGAACAACATGGGGTGGGAGTTTTAGCGAACGATCCTTGCAAATAGTTAATATTCATAGTACTGGTTGCTTATTTACTTTGTTGTCTCTACTTAGAGGTGCATTTTTACTTTGAAAAGTGATTGCAAAAAGGCATTGTGGGGTTCCTGAGGTCAAGCTGAGTTCTTCAATCTTTTGTAATAAAAATTCTGCAGACCAAATTATGTCCTTAGTTCAGGGCATATACAGCTCCATTGCCTTAAGTAGGTTTGCTCAGGGGTAACTGATAGATTAAAACTGTGATTGGAATTTAGTTGATGATGCACAAGAAAAAATAGAACCCAGCTTCCCCCTCTCATAGTTGGATTGATTCTGTTGTTTTAACAGGAGTAAAAAGTAGTACATTTTTATCTTTGTCACCAAAGTGAATGGATGGGACAGTGAAAGCACAGGGAATAGATTTTGTGAGTAAGTGTCACTTTTACACAGTCACTTCTCAAAACAGAATCAGGTTGTAAGACTAGGCTTGATTCTCCAATGCCCTCTGTACTCATTGACTGGGTATAGTGGGTGTAGAATGCTTAAATCAATCAATTGAAATGTTAGCATTTTACATCCACTTTGCATGTAATCTACACTGCTGTAAATTACTGCACAAGGAGTGTAACAGTGGAGTATTTGATCCTGAATCTCTTGCTGCTCAAGAAAGGGAGTATTGGACTGAGGTTTCAGCATTTCTTCTCCTTTCTCTTAACCACTTGTGAAATGACAATAGATTGTACAACTTGTACTAGAAAAGGTGTTCTTGGCTAGTAGCAAATGAGTCCTGGAATCACTTATCAATTATTCTTATTTTGTCTCTTATCTCTTTCCTATTTTTCAGCTTGCAAATGTTCTAGAGATAGACTTATCACTGGTGAAGGTATGTTTGCATAGTACATCCAAAGCATCTAATTGTCCAAAGTGAAAATCCTCCAATGTTTTACTACATGGCTTCTTAAATAGATACTAAAACTACATTATGAAACTTAGCAGTTTTTGATTGATCTCTTGTGTGTCTTTGTCTCTTCAGAATGCTGTGTCCATGTATTGTCGATTGGGTTTTGCTCACAAAAAAGGCCAAGTAATGAATCTGGAAAATCTTCATTCATCATGGAGGAACATTCCGTCTATAAATCGACTGAAGTAGGTATCTTGCCATGTTTCTTGAGCTACTTTAAAAGTATAGTTTTGACTACAGAGGTGGGACATTCTAAATTCTACCCTTGCGTCTGGCATTGTGATTCCTTTGTGGTCCTGACAATAATTTAATTATCTTCCTTCATTTTCTATATATAAAATGAGAATAACATATGTGTAGCTCTTGGGTATATGTGAGGGTTATTGGTGGTAAAATTCGCTCATAGATGCTGCAAATAATACTTTAAGTGTTGGCATTTTGGTTTTGAAACACAGACTGTGTACTTGCTTTAATGTCTTATGGCTGTGAATTTGTAATTATTCTGTATTTTGATTTGTGTCTTTAGGAATTTTAAGATTATTTCCTGATTTTTAAAAACTAAAAGTTGCTGTTTTTATTGTAGTACCATGACAGCCTTTCTCAGTGCAGCTGTTGGTGTGTATACTTTTAATTGGCGGTGCGTTTCTGTGGTTGGCAAGACAGCTTGCAGTACTTGGGCATTCTGGCAATCCTGTGGGCCCTTGTTTTGTTCTTAAACTTAAATGTCTGGTAATGATTTTTAAAAAAAGGAGAAATAAAACCTGTTTGAACTTTTTTGTAGTCAGCAGTTGGAGGATTCAGACGTCTTGCTGAGGGATAGTTTGAAATAGGCTTTCTACATTGGTGTGAAATGTTTTATCTGGCTTTGATAGGACTTGCAGTGGTTTTCATAATCTGCCACTGAGCATGCGTGAAGTACCATGAGATTAGCAGGCAGAGCTGCTGCCATGGTGCTACAGTGATAATAGATACAGACTTTGTTAATAGGAGTACTTTGGATCCGCAAAAGATGCTCCTTTCATGGGACAGTGGGGAAAACAGGACTTCTGTACAGGAAGCTTGTTCATCAGCTACAGATACTGACACCAACAGTCAAGATGATCCAGGTTAGCACCCATATTAAATTGATACATTAGAATCAATTGGTTAATGTTTGTAAAATGCCTTGAGGTTATAAATGCTAATTATTCATAGACCCAACCAGAATATGTAGAGAGAGGCAGATTGTGGAAATACTTCTAACATCAAATGCATTGAGTTATTTTCCCACTTTTTATTCTTATTGCATCTCCCCACCTCAAAAAAGTGCTGTATTAACCAGTCTGCATTATGAATGTTAGTAGAATTCTTCCTGAATGAAAATAAAATTACTGCAAAATTAAATTTTAAATTTGATGAGTTATATAGTATTGCAATAATGGCGAGGAAATATGTATAAGACTCAGTATGGCATAGTGTGGGCTTTATGCTTTATTTGTTTAGTTCATACGTAGATCTAGTTTTATGATTTTAAGGCTTGCTTAAGGAAATTGTCTTTATTCTTAAATAAAACAAATAAGTTTACAAATTCTTTCTTTGTTTTATAGCTGACACAGCCAGCGTGAGCAGCTTGAGTCTGTCTAGTGGACACACAAAGCGTATTGCATTCCTGTTTGATTCAACTCTCACTGCCTTTCTAATGATGGGGAATCTTTCACCTGTATGTCAGATTGTTCAGTTTGTCTATGTGAAGATCAAATGTGTAGAAAACACTTTAAGTCTTGGCTTTTAGCATAATGCAGCTCTGATGATTTTAGGACCTTTTGTATCAATTGCTTAGCAACTTTAATGATCATTTGTTTAGGCAAATTTTGTCTATATTTTACAAAAATATATATGTTAAATCTCCCACTCACAGAGATAAGAATCTGTGAAAGATAAAAAATCTTATATACAATATATTTGGATCATATTGTTGCAGAACTTGAAAAGTCATGCGGTAACTATGTTTGAAGTTGGAAAATTATCAGATGAATCTCTGGACAGTTTTCTTTTGGAACTTGAAAAGGTAACCCTCTTGTATACAGTCTAAAGTTTTTCAGAGCTTAAGATGTTTCTGTGTGTGTGTGTTTTACACTATCAGTATTTGATATGTATTTTTGTCTTGTGCTTTTGCTTTAGGAGCTTCTTATTACCCCTCTTTGTACATAATAATATTGGTAGGAACACATGCGTGGGAATATTCGATCCTCAGTTTTTTATGTCCCATTAAAATGGAGACTGTCCTATATGTCTGTGCCAGAAATGACTTTTTTTAAGATGACATTATCAGAAGTGCATGTATAAAAGTTCAGTCACTAAGTTAAGATATGAAAATACACTAAACGTCACAAACCCTCATGTGCATACATCTGTAGATACATGTTCACACAACCACTAACTTGTGTGCTAGCATTGGCTTTTTGTTTGCTGGATTTGGGTATCTGTAAATATGCATACTTTTGCATTCACATGCCCTTGAAAACTTGGTCATTAAGGACTGGAATTTGCAGGCCATAATTTTCTGGACCTGTGGTTTTTTTTATTTATTTTTTTTAAACCTTTAGATCTTATATCTACCATAATTTTAAACAAACCAACCAATTTCTTAAGATGACTATACAGTTGTATACTTGTAGATTTTTTTTCTGTAATTGCTATGACTTTATTATGGCATCCTTTCACAGAAGCCCCTTTAGTGGTCAGTTATATTGAACAATGATGATACAGTACAACTGCAGTTGTTGGATATATATTTTTGGATTCCTCCCTTCCCCTAATTTTAATGTCCTACTAATATACTTAACATTACAGTATTTGACAAGCTTTGCCAGCTTTCACTTAACTTGATGGTTGCTATGGATCAGTCTTGCTGAAAAACTGGAAGGCAGTTGCACCTTTTAAATGCTGACTGTAGAATGTTTGTAATAACTTCTTAATCTCGTATTTGTGGAACTGGTATTTACAGAAACAGTATACAACATGTACACCTTTATATGATTTTTTGTTTAGGTTCAAAGCACAGGTGAAGGGGAGGCACAGAGATACTTTGATCATGCACTTACTCTGAGAAACACAATACTGTTTTTGCGGCATAACAAGGACCTAGTGGCACAAGCTGCACAACCTGAACAACCAAATAATGGTATAGTGAAAGTTACTGTTTTGGGAAAACTGTCCAGTCTCTCGGAGTTATGTTTGTTTATCTCTCGGAGTTATGTTTGTTCTCTTTAAAAAGAGTTTTCTCATTAAGTGCCCTTTCTGAATGGGATGCTTTCCTGAAATTGGGCCTTTCAGTCCACTGCTGCCTGTGTTGAGCCTCCAGTGATCCATCCTTGTCACATTTGACACATCAGTCACTTACATGGCAGTAGGACTGGTGTTCGAAGCACTAGATTGATTTCACTGCAAGACCAAGGACAAACTGGGCTGGTGTGGGAGGGAGCTGGTTCCAAAACACACACATTTAAGGATAGTAAAGGAGGAATATTTCTGCATGACTAAATGTACTAAGTGGAGATATTTCAAAGGCACAGAGGGGAGTTAGGCAAAACTCTCTTTGTGCACACGCGCGCACACACACACACAAGTGAATGCCTAGTTGTCCTTTATGCCTGTGAAAATCCCCCTCCCCTCAAAAAAATTCCAAACATGCTTCACTGCAAAAATCCATCATCAAGATGAACCGCCAAAACTTTTTTCTTGCTGCTAGTTCAGCTATCCTTATGGGCCTGAAATATACCCCAAAATTGCAATTCTGTGATGACAAAATCTATCAATAAGGTTGGTTTTTTTGGTTTTGTTTTAACAAATAAGAGCTTGATTTTGCAAGGTGCTAAGCACTCTCCATGCTAATCATAGTTGGGATATTTAGGTGCTCAGCACCTCACAGGATAAATTAAGGGAGAATTTGGAAGGCAGAATCATACTATTCAGTTGTATTGCTCTGTTCTATAGAGAGAATTGTTTGGAAGCAAGTGAACTAAGTACTGCTCTGCTATCTTGAATCAATGGTATTTCACCAGATTTACACCAATATACTTAGCCCAAGTATCTTTTATAGTGTGGTATAATGGCAGATAATAGAAAAAGTGTAATATGATTTGGTAGCAGGCATTTAGTTCTTCTTTGAGTGATTGGAGATGTGTATTCCACTCAGGTGTGCATGTGTGTGTGCACCTAGCATTCTGAAGTCAGAGAACTTTGCATAGTGGTAGCCATAGGGGCAGAGCTTGCATCCTGTGGCCATTAGCCCCATCCCCTGGCTATTGAAGGGTAGCACCACCCAACCTCCTCCATTCTTTCTCACTACCTGCAACTAGAGTTGGAGCATTTCATGTGGTATTTCCCACATGCTGTTTCTTATCTCAGTCTTTTGAGTTTTTGTTATAAATAGTTAACTAGTATTAGCTAAGAATAGTTAGATTAACTTGTCATCCTGATGGGATGCTGTCACCAGGATTCAAACACTGTTCAGTACGTGGGTTGGTTATTCCCAATAGTGATCCCCACATGAGGTGTTTATTGTGACTAGGAGAAAGGTACATTAGAGAAAGGTTCTCCATCTGCAAGTCTCTTAAAAAAAAGAATGCAGGTGGCAATGGACTTGAGACTCAGGCAGCACTTGAGTGTAGACCACGAGGCCCACTTTGGTACAAGGGACCTCCACAGATCGTCTGGCCTCTCAAACAACTTCAGAGCTAGAGCCAGACTTATGTTCTTCAGACAGACTCTGATTCCTCTCGCAGGAGGAAGACAGATCATTCTCCTTCTTTGGGTCCTCCGAGAAAAAGGTCTCACAAAATGGACTGCAGCTACTTCAGAGCTGTCATCATTCTCTTTCAGGAGGAGTGTGGACTGATCTACCAGGATGTGAGATGGAGCTGGGCTATCTGCTCTGTTACCAAGGCAGCATCAGTTCGACACTATACTTGTTGACTCCGATGCCGTCCATGAGATGCTGGTACTGTCAATGTCAGCATCGACTTTTTCCCTGCTACTAGAATACCAGGCAGTGTCAGACTTGCTTTGCCTCTCTCTGTTCCTGGTTCTCCAATTACTCAGGAGCATTCAGTAGCCCAGAAATCATTGATATGGGCAGTGCTGCCTGGTGTGATGCCAAACACTCACAGTGGACAATTGAGCACTGCTTTCTTATCAGTACTGAGTGGTCCGTTGGAACTGTTGCCATCTGTGGCACCAATGATGACTGTGGTACAGACCATATCTTTAGAATGAGTACTGACCCTGTCGTCTGTGCTATCTTCAGTGTTAGTACCAAATGGGAATGTGATATCGTGGCCAGTCCTCAAGGTGCTGACTCCTTTTCTTACCTCCGATGCTGATACAGCCAGTGTATTGGGTCTCAGATGAGGCGTGATGTTTGTTCACTCCATGCAGGATGGCTCCTGTGTTACCTTCTGTTACTTTGAAGGTTCATCAAGCTCAGGGACATCTTCCCCCTCTCCCTCATCCTTGAGACACACTTCTAGGAGATGGTGGAGAACTCCTGTGGACCACGATTGGTACCAGGATTTGCACTGTTCCTACATTAGATATGGGCTCTTGGTCTAGTGCATACTGGCCATTAGTGCCAAATCCCTATACCCAGTAGCTCTGTGGGATGTTCCACATTCAGTAAAGTCCTGGTCTTTGACTCACTCCAGAGTTAGGTTGCCCAACCAACCTGTAGTATCATCTGCATCTGCCTATATTGCAGACTCAAATGGAGGCAGCTTTCTTGGAGCAGGTTCCGTCTGAACCACTCATACAGGAGCATGTATTACTGCAGAAGGTTCCAGTGGCTCCACTTCTGTCGTCACCCTCATCACTGGATGACTTCATGGTACTGGAGTCTTCTTCCCAGCGCCTGAAGATTTTAAGCTCCATTAGGAGCTTCTCAGATGAATGGCTTCAGCTATGGGTATTCAAGTGGAGTTTGTGCAAGGAAAATACACCCAACTTGACATTATTCAGTCCTTGGCACAAGTAGTGTAGTTCCCTTTACATGAAGCATTATTAGAACCTGCCAAGACTTTTTGGAATACCCCAGCTTCCTTGCCTTCTACAGCAAAACATATGGACAAGTGTTATGTTCCCATGCAGGTGTTTGAGTGTGTTCAATCTCATCCTGCCCCTAACTCTGTTCTTGTAACAGCAGAGATATATATCCACACCCAAGGATGAAGAGGCTGAGAGGATGAATCTCCTGGGGAGAAAATTTGTTAGCCTCCTCCTTGCAAATGCGCATTGCAAATCACCAGCCACTTCTGTCAGAATATGATTTTGTGAATTCAGAGTGTGTAGCAAAATGCAAAAAGCCTTTGGTGGTCATATTTTGTTCTTGGACAGAACAGATGAGACTTTGCATTCACTGAAGGACTCGTGTGTGTTGGGGATTTATACCCAAACCAAAGGGTATTTTACTGGTTAGCACCAGCAATACCTGTCCCAGTGGTATTTCTGGCAGACAGCATGTCGGGGCAGACAGAAGGACCATCCTAGAAAGGGGAATAAGTCATACAGGAGAAGACCACCTGGGTCTAACTTTTAATCAGCCAGTCTGTCCTCCTTCAACTTTTGTCAAGCAGCAGTTTTGACTGTCAGATCAAGAGCAGCATTCCAGTTGTGAACTTGCAGCTGTTCGGGGATGGCCTTTCTCACTTCCACAGTGCTTGGGAAGCTATTACCACAGACAAATGGGTCTTCAGCACTGTGGGATCAGGTTATGCCATTCAATTTCTCTCCATTTCCCACATTGTGCCCCGTCCTCCACCCTATCCCTTTTCATGGACCCCTCTCACAAGTCACTGCATCTCCAGCAGCTGTGGACTCTGCAGGATTTGGGGGCCATAGAAGAAGTCCCTCTACAATATCAGGGGAAAAGATTCTACTCGCAGTATTTCCTGAGACCTATTCTTGATCTTAAGGGTCTCAACAGGTGCATCAAGTACATGAGATTCCACATGATTACCCTAGCTACTATCCTCCCCCAAATGACTAGTTTGATGCCCTAGATGTTGAAGATGACTGTTTCAGTGTGGCTGTTTCTGAGATTTGTAGTTGCAGGGGCAGCATTATCAAGACATGGTTCTCCCCTGTAGCTCCTTGAGTTTTTACCAAATGCATGGCTATAGTAGTAGCACATCCCAGGAGAAGAGGAATACATGTTTTTCCCTACCTGCACAATTGGTTGGTGAGGGGCAAGTCCAGAGACCAATTGCTCAGCTACGTCCGGTTCACTCTGCATCTTTTTAGTCATCTAGGTCTAATAATAAATAAAGCAAAATCAACTTTAGTACCACACAAAACTTAGTACATTGGGGCCCTACTAGATTGTACGAATGCAAGGGTATTCCTGCCAGGGGAACGATTTCAGATAATTGTTGTTTCTGTCTGTCCCTCCAAGTTTACCCTTCTTCCATAATTTGGGTATGCCTGAAGTTATTGGATCTTATGGCCATGTGTACTTACATGGTCCAGGATACGAGACTACATCTTCGTCATCTTCAGGTTTGGCTTAAGCTGGTGTATCACCTACATTTTTAGTAGCTGGACACCCTGGTGCAAGTGCTGCCACCCATCCTGCAGTCCATCAAGTGGTGGAGGAACCAAATCAATGTTTGCAGAGGTGTTCCTTCATCTGTTCTCCATGGATCATAACATTAGTGATCCCTCTGCCATAGGTTGGGGAACATATCTGGAGATTTTGAAAGTTCAGGGAGTGTGGACAGATAGGAATATTTCCTTCCTATCAACATCATGTAGCACTGAGCCATTTACAATGCAGGCTGGGCCTTTCGGTCACACATCAGACACAGAGGTTCATATACTCACTGACAATACCACTGTGGTGTACTATGTGAACAAACAAGGGTCCTCACTCCAACCAGCTTTGTCAGAAGATAGTAAAGTTTTGGCATTTTGCATCAGGGAGAACAACATACCCACAGCAGCTCACCTACTGGGGATGAGGAATTGCTAATGTGATCACCTCAGCAAAGTGTTTTCTCAGAATCATGAGTTGTCTCTGAAGAACAGTGTGTTAAGGTCCGTCTTCGGAGTATGGGGCATTCCAACTATCAACCTGTTTGCAACAAAAGACCACAAGAAGTGCCCATTAGTTTTGCTCCCAGGTGGGCCTCAGTCCAAGATCCTTGACAGATCCCTTCCACCTGAATTGGGGATTGGCACTCATATATGCCTTTCCTTGGGATTTCTGTCATCACACAGGTTGTTTTCAAACTGAAGTTGGATCATGCTAGACTGATTCTCATTGCACCAGCTTGGCCAAGGCAGTGTTGGTTCTCTGATTTCCTCTGATTCCCTCAACTGCTCATATCTCTTTATCCTGACCTACTGATCATTGTCAGATTTGGCATCCAATATTGAACAGCCTGCTCCTCGCGGTGTGGATGCTGTACAGTTTGATGAAGAGAAGGAATGATATTTGGAAGCTGTTTGACAAGTGTGGCTTAAGAGTAGAAAGCCATCTTCTAGGGCTACTATTTGGCCAAGTGGAAATGATTTTCAGTTTGATTGCTAGCTTGGGGAGTTCAGCTGCTACTGGCCTATATTCAGGACATTTTGAAGTACCTGCTATGCCTTCAATCATTTGGTCTTTCTATCAGTTCATTGAGGGTTCACTTAGCAATGATCTCAGCATTTTTCATCTGCCCATCCAAGGGAAGTCAGTTTTTATGAACTCCATGGTAATGGGATTTCTGAGAAGAGTCAGTCATCTCCACCCACCTGTGAACGGGCCAATTCCCTTGTGGTACCATAATGTATGTTTAGCTGCCCTGATGGGGCCTCTGTTTGAGCCTCTGGTAGCCTTTTCTCAGTCCCTTTCTATGCCAGAAGGCAGCTTTCCTTGTTGCAATAACATCCACAAGAAGAATAAGTAAGCTGCAGGGTTTATTACTGGAGCCCTCGTATACGTGGTTTTTCAAAGACTAAGTGTAGCTGGGGCCACATCCAAAATTTTTTTCAAAAATTATTTCACAGCTTCACCTTAACCAAGTGATTTACTTACCAGTGTTCTTTCCTAAACTGCGTTCAAATGCACATGACCAATGACTTCACATGTTGGATGTGAGACAGTACTTGGCATTTTACCTAGAGAGGACAGTCTTTTCGGACATTTCCTTGACTTTTTATTTCCTGTGCGGATTGAATGAAGGGTCAGGTGGTTTCTGTGCAGATAATTTCCAGATGGATAACTTCCTGCATTACTACAGTTTATGGAGTAGATCAATCTGCATCCCCACAGACATTACGGACTCATTTAATGAGAGCCCAACTGTTATCGATTGCATTTTTCAGCAATGTTTCAATATTGGACATTTGTCAGGCTGTGATATGGGTTCTGTATGTACTTTTACCAAACATTATTTAGTTACCACAGCATCTCTGTCAGATACAAACTTCGTGAAGACAGTGCTATAATCATTATTTAAATAGACTTCAGGTCTCACATCTGATTACTGCTTGTGAGTTGCCTGAGTAGAATACACAACTACAACCACTGACATAAAAAATGACTACTTATCAGTTCTGTAATTGCTGTTCTTTGAGATGTATTTCAGACTTGTATTTCACAACCCACCCTCCTTTTCCTCTGCATCGAAGTCTCTGCTCTTGACATTCGGTGGGATGGAACTGTGGGGGGTCAGTTGCTGGGGAGGGGCTAATGGCCAAAGGGCACAAGTACCATCTTTATGGGTACAGCTGGGCAAAGTTCTTCGGCTTTGGTGCATTGGGCACGCACTCGCATCTGAGTGGAATACATGTCTGCACCCACACCTTGAAGAACAGATAACCATTTTTCTTTAATATTAGATATTGACTCTTGTAATTCACTGAGTAGGAAACTCTTCTTCATATGGTCAAGTAGGCAGTGAGGTATAAGTTATGCTTCTCTGTCAGAGACCAAGTTCAGGCATAGATTTGAAATACTGCTTTGTAGTAGTACATCAGTATGCCAGGGTATCCTTGAATACTTCCAGGATTCCAGGTGCTAGATGTAATCCTTTGCTGGCCAAAACATTGGCATTGGCCACCTCCATAGCATTGAGTAAAAAGCAACATAGCAGCTAGTTTTTTATGTATTCCATTTTCTCTGACCTATGTTTTTGACCCTTAGTAAGCAGACTAGATGCCAATTTAACTTTATATTTTAATGGTTTGTTATAAAACATCTAGAACATAGTCACAAATACATGTTTAAGATACTGAGTTAGCTTAAACAGTCAAAAGCCAAACTGCTTAATGTTAAAAGTTCAACTCTGAAAAACTGGCCTGTAAAAATAATGTATCTCCTTATTCTAGTGACAGACTAGACTCTTCTACTTTCAGCTTGAAGAACCAACACATCTCGGGGAAAGAACTGGATTCTTTTCTGATTCATATGTTGTTAGAATTGTTACTGGTTGTGTATGTTCCTTTTCTAGCTGTATTCAAAGTGTCTTTTGATGCTTTTTAATGTAGGTTTTCCTTTGGATCTCTTACGATGTGAGAGTTTGCTGGGCTTGGATCCTGCAACCTGCAGTAGAGTTCTAAACAAAAACTACACACTACTTGTCTCCATGGCGCCGCTCACCAATGAAATTCGACCCATCAGCAGCTGTACCCCCCAGGTGAAAATCCACTTTGAAAGGAATCTGAGTCTGTGATATTATTGCACTTCATTTTTGAATTAATACTTTTAACATAAAAGCAGTTTTCTTTGGATCTTTTTCATAGAAACTACCTTCATTAGAATTTTTTGCTCTAAATGATTTTGCACATAAAACCGTATTATTATATTACAATTGTTTCATGAAAATCAGAGTTTAGTGAGGTATAATGTGCATATTTATTAAGCTGAATTTATTTACTAAATGTCTGCGTAGTAATTATCTCTCTAGTTAAAAAGTTCTGTGACAGATGTTCCTTTATATATATATTTAACGTTTTGAATTCATGTTCTTAGAACTCGTGAGCCCTTTGGAAATAAAGTCTTCTACTCTCTTATCAGTTTTCAGAGTAGCAGCCATGTTAGTCTGTGTCCGCAAAAAGAACAGGAGTACTTGTGGCATCTTAGAGACTAACAAATTTATTTGAGCATAAGCTTTCGTGGGCTACAGCCCACTTCATTGGATGCATAGAATGGAACATATATAGTAAGAAGATTATATTTATAAATAAAAAATGCCAGGAAACAAAATAAATATTTTGCATCCTCTAGAAGAGATATTATTTTAGAACCTACTTCACTACCCTGTACTCATGTTGAGTAGCACATAGTAAGATACTGTGCCATAACAATAAGGGTGGTGTAATGAAGCCCTTAATTTATTCCCTAAAGTAGCACTCTCTATTCTGGCTGTCCCCTTAATCCCCGCCTCCCAGGCGTGCGCGGCCGTTCTGCATGAGCCCCAGCGACCTGGAGCTGACGGCACGAGCTCTTTTAAAAAAGAAAAGAAAAGAAAAAGGGACACCGCTTTGCCTCCCTTGATGCATACCCGCATCTCCCTTGGGAGGCCCACCCCATAGTTTGAGAACTGCTGGCTTAGAGCATCTTCATTAAAGCGCTACAGTGTTTTAATTGTTGACTTGCCATCACATGACACATTCTGTCAATTTTTCCCAAATGCTGGGGCATGTCCCCCTGGGGGTGTCTGAAGAACTAAGTGTGGGGGGAGGCTGTAAGAAGATTTCTGATGTGTTCTCCAGGTTGTCAGCTTTCATTAAAAATAAATAACTAAAACAATCCTGAATGGTAAATAAATTAAGATGTATACCCCATTCACAACATATGCCAGGGCTGTGGGAGAAGGGGTGCCATAGGCTTAATTTTCCAGAAGGGGGATCAGCTTTCAATAATTTAGGAAAGTGCATTATATAATCATCTGTGAAGCTACTGTAACTTGCTTTCTGAGTTTTACTTGGTGTATTACTTAGCTTCACGTATCAGACCTCTGCAGTGAACGTTAGAATAGCAAAACGTACTGTGCGGTATAAATTAAAAGGGTAAGTAATGTCGTCAACTTGGTAACCAAATTCTATAAGACAGCCAGCTTGTTTACAGTGTTGTGTTTGAGCAAGTGTCTAATCGGTGTGTATGTACTGTACCTTTAGCAAACTTTAACAAATCTAGCTTTCAAGCAAGAGTGTCCTTCCCATCTTCTGTTATACCCAGGGAATGAAGGGACAGCTGAGTTGGAATCTTAAAACTTGGATTCACCATGTAATAGTGAGGTGTTGTAGCTGCTGGCCCTGAGGCCAGTCTTATCTGCTTGTAAGGGTTACTATTTAAGTGTACCAAACTCTAGTAAAATAACAAAGTTCTGCCGTTTTTTCTTAACCTATAATTGTACTTGTAATAGTTGCAATTCAAATGATGCTTTTGCATTTTTTGATTGATCTTTCTTCAGCATATTGGACCAGCTATACCAGAAGTTAGCTCAGTTTGGTTCAAATTGTATATTTACCATATTACTGGTCAAGGACCACCATCCCTATTGCTGTCTAAAGGGACAAGGCTTAGAAAACTTCCAGATATTTTTCAGGTATGTTTATATGCTTTTTTTTCTTCTTTTTTCTCTCAAATGGAACCTGAATTTTCTCCCAACGAAGGAACTGTTCATTGCTTCTGTTGCTGTTTGTATCAGTGTTGTTCCAGCAAACTTGACGCTACTTTCCCTAGCTTTAATTTAATACATCATACTGCAGATCCTCTTAGTATGAAGTAAACACTTTAGATGGTGGTGGTGGTTGTTCAGGAGTACTATCTGGACACATAGGAGACTGCTGTAGCAGAAGACTTATGAGGAGCAAGCATATCTTTGCTGGGAAAGATTTAGGCTTCTACTCCAGAGTGCAAGGATTCTACCTTAGAGAATCAGATCTTCTCTCTTCTCCCTTCATCCCCCAAACAAAACAAAAAATAAAAATCTTTCACACGCGTGCTTCTCTCAGAGTCTGAGAAGATGGTTAAGACTATCCCCTTTATTCTGAAGACTGTTCGGGTCCTAGAACAGAGATTTTTTTTTTGAAGCACCTTGGAGATGTCTTCTGCAATTAGGATGACTGTATTCATACTGCTTTGGATTGATTAAAGGAGGTATGGCAGTTTTCTCCTACCATTTTGTCTGTGTCAAAGATGTTAAATGGAAAACACAATCCTGGTGGTGGAAGTTGCAATGGCCAAGGCAAACTTGGCTGAATTAAAATTATAGAATCTCCTCCTGGTCAAATATCAATTTAAACTGAGGTACAGGACTCTATATTCTTCATGTCCCCCTTTCCAAAGAGAATTGAAACATTTAAGAAACTGGCCTTGTGAGTGAGTGGAGATAGACAGAGAGATGCATGCATCCTTTGATGTAGCTACAGTAGCAATAGTTTCTGGCATCAGTGTTTGTAGACATCAGGAATGAAAACACAGAGATCTTGTTTTGCTCTTTCTCCCTCATTTTATATTCCTATTTTTTGTTGTAAAATTGGCATGGGGAAAAGTCCTGTCTCAAAAATAAAGTACTAAAAGGTCAGGTGAGTGTGGATACCCAGTCCACAAAGAGGTTCTATAATACTAACAAACTGGATCTTGAGTCTAGCTGTGAGGCCTAACCCAAAGCTTCAATACTTCACAAATGTGTGGTGTGGCTTTTTTTTTTATATTTTTAAAAGCGCTCTATGTAGTTACTTTGTAAATTTCCTTATAGAATCAGATTTGAGGTTTGCTGGCATAGCGGATTTTCCTTGTACCAAATAGTCTCAAGTCCTATACCAATAAATTTTTTCTTGGGACATCTTATCTGTCTGCACACCCTTTTTTTGTTACCATGCAAAAATGTTGTTGTTCTTGTTTCCACTATTGCTTGTTGCAGTGGCATTTTGTTAAAAATATACACTTTTTATCGAGAGACATTCCCAGGACTTTTTAATCTTCTGAAATGAGGCTCTCTCACAGTCGTATCTTTAGAGCAAAGGAAAGTGCTTCCATGTCATTATTTTTCTCTGAAGATATACTCCACATTGATAGAACACCATTATCATTTTGAGTACTGCTGGCAGATTTAAAGTTTCTCAGCACATATTCTTACCTTCCAAATTTATATGAGAATATTTTTATCTCCCCTTCTCAAGGAACATTGTGGTATCTGCACATTGTCACAAGTCTTTGCAGCAGATATATCCTGTTCGTACTAGCATGTTAGGAAACCCCCAACCTCAAAATTCTGCCTCCATCACTAGAAGGAGCATGAGCATAAAAGTGATGTTATAACACAATATAAATGATATATTACTGAAAATACTGGCAGTAATTTCCTAATTGTAATACTTTACTATTGGCCTAATGATTTAGCTTTTCACTTTTATATACTTGGACAATCAATTACTACTGCTTTTTATTTTGTTTCTTTCTTTTAGGGTTATGATCGCTTACTAATAACATCTTGGGGTCATGACCCAGGAGTAGTCCTAACTTCGAATGTATTGACAATGTTGAATGATGCTTTAACACATTCTGCCGTTCTAATTCAGGTACTTGATATGAATATGATAAAATGTACTTAATTTCAGTACATTTTTTTCTTATATGTAATGTACAGTAGAGGTGACTGAAAAAAAGTGACTTTTTTTTCAAAATTCTTCATTTTTTTTCAAAATTTTTAACTTAGAAAAATTTTGACCGGCTTTATTGTGTAGTTTGTTTATTACTGTGTCACTAAAATGTTGAACCAAAACCGTTGTGTGATTCATATACAGTTATATGGATTAAAACGTAGTCCATGTATTAAAATGTTGTCAACAAGTATGGTATGCATCACAATTGTGCTTTGTAGATGCCTGTTTTTTCAGAGTTCTATACTAAAAATTTTTTTATTGGTTTTCAATTATTTCTTTCTGATCATATAATATTTGTATCTTAGTACAATTTTGTGCTAACTTTTAGGGTGTTTTTGTACTCTTGCACAACTTTTTGTTCACAGACTTTCCTACAAACTGTATTCCAGACTCTTTTCTTATTATTTTAACTGTATTAACTCGGAAAGAAGGATAAGTTAAGCAACTTTAACAAAGAAAAGAGGTTTTCAAGTGAGATGGATTTGATGAGGTAGATACATGAAGGTTATTCAGATGTCGAGAGGCATATGAGAAGCACAGGCACGGGAACTAGGGATGCGGCAGGTGCTGCAGCACCCCCAGGTTTTACTGTGAAAAGTTTGGTATGCTGTCAGAATGAAGCTAGCATTATTTCACGATTGTTGAGAATCCCATGTGGTGTGAGCAGGAATTGTACTTTTTTATATTGCTTTTGAGCACACAGGGTTTGCAGTTTCGTTAGATGGCTTTCAGCACCCCCACTGTAAAAAGTGTTCCAGTGTCACTGATGAGAAGGCTCTTGAACCAAGGCTCTTGGACATCTGGGACTTGGGGAGGTCAAAAGAGAGGTGCAATATTAAAGACGAGAGAGATGAGGTCATAGACAAGAGTTTTGGCATAAGTGTGGCTAAGAGAGTGATGTACCTGAGCAATACTGCAAAGTGGTGAGATTCAGATTCACAAGTTAGGAGATGTGAGAAGGCAGTTTCAAGGTGAAGGAAAATACTAAGGTTATAGGCCAAAATGGTGTGTGATAAGAGGTAGTTCTGTTTGAAAATGTTCTCATCTAAGAAAAGCACCTCTTGAGAGACTACTTGGTGTTTAGGTCTTGTATCTAAATCAAAAACAGCTAAACATAATTCACTATTGCTTTTGGTGTGAAGAGCATTTCTATGGCTCTTCATAAACATCTGAAATGAAGGGTTCTTTAATGAAATTACTGACATTAACTACTACATTGGGTTTTTAAAAAAATATATAGGTATATTTGTCTTAAACGTTTTAGTAAAATAAATGCCATAGTATGGCATTGTGTATGAATCCTTTTTTTGTCTTTCATTGGTTTAGCTAAAATCTTTGAGATACAGAAAACAACTGAAAGAAAAAGTAGTAACTCAAATAAGCGAGCATTTAGGATTACATTAAGTAACTTTCATATTGTATATACCACCAAATGCTTCACCTGTAAGAGCCTTAGTGAAAAAGAAAAGCAATTATTTGAGCATTTCTGTGGATGAGGGTCTCCATGCTGTGATGCCACTTTGAAACTAACAATGACGCTAAACTTTGTAGTTATGATTAGTAAAACACAAAGCTAACTGTTCCTCCTTTATTACATTTTAACTTTGAGTTTGCTTACATTAAGTTGAGTTTACATTACATTACATTGCTTACATTACATTGAGTTTGAGTTTGCTTACATTAATATTTGTTTAAAATTACTAACCACAATCTTCAGTATATAAGCGTTTTATCTGGTCTACTTGTTTGTTACATTAGCGTTACCAATCTGGCCTTTCTTAAACAATAGAGAACAAGTAGAACTAAGAAATCAATGCAAGCTCTAGTAGTATATATGGATTTCTTTCCCTGACTTTAATTTCTTCGTGTTCAGGGACATGGCATGCACGGAATGGGGGAAACTATGCATATTCCTTTCCCATTTGAGGAAGCAGAACAGCAAGGAGGTAACTGTCTTTAATGTGAATTCTGCAACAAAGATTTCAGTGCTATTGTACAATTACCTTGTATGGCGAGGCTAAACTAAATATATTGATGCCCACTTTCTAATAGCAGAGGATTACAATGTTACTAGCTATTGATTAAACTTGGAAGAGAAAATTGAAGGGATCCTTACATAGTGTCCACAGGGTGCTGCTGTAAATGTAGAGGAAGATAGTCTTATTGTGACCATTACCCCAACTTCCAATTAATTTACTGGCCCTCTTTCTTTCCCTGCATAAACTTACTGGGACAACACCAGCTTTTATTGCCCATCATTGGTTGTACATGCACCTCCTTGCTGCTCTTTGTGTTGCATGCAAGTTTATTGAAAAAAATTTTAAATCTACCTTATTCTCCACAAGACTTGTCACTCCTGTGTTGCCTACAGAACACTGCCAGATGAAAACATCTAGGGAGATGGTGAGCTCCTAGTTGTGCATTCAGCTAAACGATCTTGACTATTACTCTGGAGCATGACTGTAATACAGAAAATAAAAAATTGAACACAGCGTTTTTTTGTTTTTTTTTTTTAAAAAAGCTCCAAGTTAATGATGTCCCTTTTAAATTTTCTAATCTTCACTTTCAAGGTCTGCACAAGCACAATTACTTTTAGTGAAGCAGAAATTTACTGATTGTGAAGTGCTTCTTAAACTTGTCTTAGTCAATCATTTTGAAGTTTAAAGGGGGTGGAGAGGAAGATGATGGCCATGTACAGTAGAACCTCAAAGATATGAACATCAGAGTTATGGACTTACAGGTCAACCAGATACCCTGTGGACCCAGAAGTAATCAGACAGACAGCAAATACTTTACTGCCTTGGGGCTTTAGCCCTGGGGCTCAAGGCTTCAGTCCCACAACTCTGTACCCAGCTTCTGCCTGGGGCTCAGGGCTTCAGCCCCACAGGGAAGTGTCGGTTTCAGCCCCAGTGCTTTTCCCCCATAGCTAAAGCTCCGAGCCCCAGCTCCCCCCTCCCCCCGAAACCGGGAGCAGAGCTGTGGGGAGCCCCAAGCCCCAGCGTCCTCTTCTTCCCCCCTCTTCCCGCCCCCCTCCCCCCGGGCAGAAGCCAGGAACAGAGCCGTGGGGCTGAAGCTCTGGCATCCATCCTGGGGCAGAAGCCCCAAACCCTGGTGCCCCCCACGAGGCTGAAACTGGGAGTGGAGCTGCAGGGCCTGAAGCCTCGAGCCCCTGAACTCCTCCACATCTAAATCCCTGAGCCCTGGTGCTCCTGAGAGTCAGAAGCTTTGACACATCTCTACGGCTGCAGCCCCAGTCCCCCGCTGCAATCCCCCGCCCCTCCCAGTGGCTGAAATCCGTAATGTCTTGTTCAGAGTTACGGACAACCCCCATTCCCAAGTACAAAGTATGAGATTTAACACCTGAAACTGTAGATTGGTGCTGGACAAAATACAAACCAGCATAAACCATCCATTAGTTTCCTGATCTGAGTCTAAATCCAGTTTATTTGTTTTAGGTTTACAATGAGCTATTTCCTACATTCACTTCTCCTCCTTTTGGTCTTTGGCAAAGTGGCCCACATCCTTTCACCTTGATCCTCAAGTGAAAAGTTTTTAGCTGAAAACCAGAGGGATCTTTCTCACTCCCCCTTTCTCGTTCTGGGTTTTGACGTCTAGCTGTTGATGCCAGTAGTTCCTCCATGACCAGACTCAAAACCTGGGAGCACTGCAGTATTATCTTGTGCTTCATAACGTACCTCACATAAACTCTGGGCCAAAGTACTGTGGAAGATCCAGATTGCATCTTAGTGGAAGAGATGGACATCAGTGAGGCCCAGCATTGAAATTGCTGCACTCTGCCATCTAGCTGAAGGTGTGGGGAAAATGGTACCCACTAATTCTTGCATTCTCTCTTCCCTCCTTGCCACTGTATCTTAAGGTACTATGTTGTTTTTGGAATGGGGAAGAAGAAGCGATCCATTTACCCAGTTTCCCATATCATACCCACCATCATGATATCTGAACCTAGGAGCTAAAGAAGAAAGGGAAATCTCCAAATGCCTAAATGAACCGCCATCAGAAGTCTAGCCCTGACTTCCTGGATATTAACTGTAGTGGTGCTATGGTTGTTCTACTACCTTCTTGCAGTGATGCAAAGGCAAACTTGTGTGCTTCTTTTCTCTGCTAGACTTCTCTCGTGTGAATATGGGTGTTCATAAAGCATTGAGAATATTAAGCGACAAAGTGGATTTGCAGCATTTTTGTGGGTATGTTACCATGTTGAATCCTTCCAGTCGACACACAAACAGAAAGCTGAGTGATGCTTCTGATGGAAAAGGTTAGTCAGCAGTGAAGACTATTTGTCTTTGGCGGTCAATTTCTTTGAATTCATATGCCCCTTTTAAACAAAAATCAAGGTGTATAAATTTATTGTTTAGAATATAGAAATAAGTACAAAACGAAATCTTCTCTTAAAACCATCAGCTCTTTAATGTTTTATTTTGAAAACAAAACTCTATTTAAGTAGAAGCGATGGAGATCCCTAGTTTCCTTTGATTATTTTAGTGTCAAACCAGATCCAAGTAAGATCCTTGTGTTTTTCTTTATTCCTTTATGCCATGCATCTAGATTACTGTCCTTAGGTAAATAGTTTGAGGTACTTTGTGTTCATTATCAATACATCACATATGAGTAAAATTTATATATTCTGTACATCAGGAGGTAACTAAGCTTATGTTCATCTAAATATTATTAAATATCTTAAATTTAGGTGAGCTTGAATTGGCATCAGGATCTGATGTAAATGGGAGCACAGAATCATTTGAAATTGTTGTTGAAGACACATCTGTGGATTCTGCAGCTAAGCAAAGTCCTGAAGGTAAGATCTTACAAATGACCTATATTATTTACTGGAAGATAAAATCTCCCTTAGATATTTCTGTCCAGTCAGAAATCTAGTATTAAAGTATCTAAACGCACAATACAAGCATTGCCTAATGTCTCCAGTGCTGTGTTTTAAGCAAATAGTAGACATTTAAAAAAAAAACTTAATGTATTTGACACATTGATGTATGGATAGTGCAATACTGTTAATATGTTTTAATGCAGACCTCTTAAAGAATCTTTGTTTGGCTCAGAATTGCTTGAAGTGTTCTGTCTTGTAAATACTGTGTAAGTTTTATAAAGAATGGGAGATAGGAACCTTTTGGTACAGTTTAGCTACTGACTCAATTTTTATTTTTTTTAGAGAGAACTGATCCGGGGTTAAATTTTCAGGGTCAATTTACTGTTCTCTTCAGAAAACATTTTAGTCTCTTGTTTATATCTTGTAGTTCCCACAACAGAACTGGAATGGGTTCCCCTGGAATTATGCTTTGGAATTCCACTGTTTAGCTCGGAATTAAACCGGAAAGTCTGCAGAAAAATTGCTACCCATGGACTATGTAGAAAAGAAAGGTGAGGTTTCTTTTGCACAGCCATTGTGTGCAGAACTTATCTGTGCTTTGGCAATGCAATAAATTAAAGTTTGAAACTGTAGTACTGTATCATGTTATTACATTGTAGGAGTCACTTTTAGGCTCCAAGATACTTGCTGTAATATACATTCCCATAGCTCATTGATCATAGCTCAAGCCCTAGGAATATTTGGCTGCTATTGTCAGCGTGGGCATCATACCATAATGTATGGCAGTGGTTCTCAGACTAGGGCCGCTGCTTGTTCAGGGAAAGCCCCTGGCAGGCTGGGCCGGTTTGTTTACCTGCTGCGTCTGCAGGTTCGGCTGATCGCGGTTCCCACTGGCCGCAGTTCGCCACTCCAGGCTAATGGGGGCTGCGGGAAGCGGCACGGGCCGAGGGATGTGCTGGCCGCCTTTCCTGCAGCCCTCATTGGCCTGGAATGGCAAACCGCGGCCAGTGGAAGCTGCGATCGGCTGAACCTGTAGACGCGACAGGTAAACAAACCGGCCCGGCCTGGCAGGGGCTTTCCCTGAGCAAGCAGCGGCCCTAGTTTGAGAACCACTGATGTATGTGGTGTATGAGCAGAGATTAGCCTACTTAAAATCATGCCTTGCAATCTATCTTTATTGTAGATTAAACTTCACATTGCAATTGATTAATAAAGCAAAATGTTTTTTGAAAGGAATTTTATTTTACTTTGGAGACGATGGGAAATGGGATTTCTGATGGTAATTTTTTCATCTCTTGTTCAATGAGGTCTCTGACAGACAATTTAATTGGAACAGTTTCACTGAAATGCAGCACCTTTGATTAGATTATATTTCTTAAATTAATGGTGGCTTCTCTATGTGTGAATAAATATAGTCCTTTGTAGAGGGAAAGGGCAGAGGGAAGTAGCCATAGAGAGGCTTTACACAAGCTATCCTCTCATCATCGAAATACCAGCAAAACTCAAATTCCGTAAGAGCTAATAATGTAGTAGCTTTACTGCGTTTGATTTTGGGAAGGCAGTTCTTATGCACTATAACAAAATCTTATGGACTTAAGTGATGGCCACTGATTTGTATTCCTCATTTCGAAGGTGGCTTTTCATTATAGTTCATCTTTTCTTGGCAAAATGTGTCTGATTTAGGGGCACAATTTTAGAGGCTGTGTTACGGCCATTTGAAAACGTTTCCCTAATAGCCCTCTGCAGTGAGGATCTTACAGGTAAATAGGTTGCTTGTCACCTTTTTTGGAGCTTTTGCTGTGTTGCATTTTAAGAAGTAACTTACGCTAAGAACCACTGTATAGCATACCTTTTTAGAACGGTCTAGCATAAGAAGCAAGAATAAAATTTAATATATTATTCATGCTTCATGTACATTATACATATTGAGTAAAACTTTCAACCACACCTTTTTATCATAGTAACAAACATAAATAGCTTCAGGAAATTGGATATTCACTTGTTGAATGGAACAAAACCCAGGCAGTTAAAAGCAGGGAGTGGGGGGTTGGAGTTTAGTTAGCAATTTACCTCTTCTACAATGATAGTATTACATTATTCTGTTTTATTTTAACAAGTGGTGTTAAGAACCATTAGAGCTGCTCTTAAGATCGTGAGCCTGGTATTCTAGTCCACTACAGTAACAATATGTATCAGCACACGTGCACTTTTTTAGACACCTGCTACGTTTTACAGCTTTTCCTTTTTTCATTTTGACAGCCTTCAAAAACTCTTGCATTCCAGTAGAAAGCTGTCTCTACAGGTTCTTAACTTTGTTTATTCATTCCAGGTAAGGGAAAAAAATCAAAATGTAGGAACTTCTGCATGGTCTGTCTTTTGGTTTTGGCTTTTTTGTTAAATGTTGTGTAGAAGTTTGTAGCTTATTCATTTTTTAATTATAGAGCTATTAAAGACATTGTCATATTAAAAATCTCATTATTTTCTGAATTTTCATTGAAATAAGAGGGGAAAATACCATTGTTTGGTTTTATACTTGGTATGTTATCACTGCTCTGCTCCGTATATAATCAGTTTCCCCTGTTCTGTATGGGTTTTCACAGCAAAAGGAGAGAGAGAGATTTGAAACATGCTTATAACCTCCTAAATATTATTAAGGGACTCTGGGCAAGTGTAGCCTCAGGTGCTACTTAGTAATCTTCTAAATATCAAGTTGACCCATATCCCTTTTAAGAGAAATATTTTTATTTAAAACTGTTATTGTTTGGTAATGAAATCTCATGTCCTAAATTTAGCCAAGTCTGAGTGATAGATGAAACATGCTGTTAAATTCTAGTTTTATTACTTGAAGAAGTCTGGTGTGTTTCTTCATGTAAACAATGTAGTGATGAGTTAATGTTAAAGAGAAAATGCGTAAAACTCTTGGCTATGTTTTGGAAGACTTTTTGTTTAAGCACATTGATGTAGCATGTTTACCTTGGCATTTCCTCTACAATGCCTCAGCATTTCTACAGTTGCCATGTAAGCATCCAACTTGTTGAAATTCTATGATATGCACATGTGTATCCTCATATACAGTAGTTGACAAGTTCTTTCCTATGTCCGTTGGTACTTGTAAGGCGGTTGCAGCTGTCCCTCCATCCGTCTGGAAGAGAGGCCACACCCCCTTGCTACAAGCCCTCTGGAAGGGCACCGTTTGGGGGGAATTCGCACGGGGTCTCCGCCACTTGGCGGGGTAACACAGTAGTGAGTCTAGGGGCCATGGTCCTCCGACTGGCCAAGGCACCAAACAATTAGAGGGCTCTAGCCTACAATCAGGGTAGATCAGCAATGTCTATAAGCCCTGGCCCTCAGACAGTGCGGGGCAGCAAAGAGGCTCTGGCTGGTATTCAGAAAAGAGAAGTAACGAGTCTGTTAGCCCAGACCCTCAAACAGGATGGGGCAGCAAGTCTATATGCCAGGCCCTCAGACAGGGCACGGCAGCAAAGTCCGGATGCTCTGGCCTGTAGTCAGGACAGAGCAATAAGCGCAAACAGAGTGGGGCAGAAAACAGTCGGGGGTCCTGGCTCTGGCCGACCGCCAACAAACGCAGGCCTCTTGGCCTATGGTGGGGAGGCTGCCACCCCAGGGGTAGGGTGATGTGGGCCCACCTGACTCCACCGTGTCCCAGCCCAGGGCCCTAACAGTGGCTGAGTGGTCCGCCATTGGGTCAGTGGGGAAACCTGGCTGCAATACGTTGGCCAGCTGTCAGTCAGGAACACAACCGAACTATATTTGGCTCCCCTGGGCTACTTCCTACACTTCTGGGTCTCGGGGGTCATCGTCAGTCTCTCTGGGATAAACAGTTAATGGCAGCCCCAACAATTCCTTGGTGTCTCCAGCGACCGGCAGCTCTGGCAGTCTGTCCAGATCTCGGGTGCTGCAGCGGTTGCTGTTGGGTCTGAACTCCAGCAGCGGAGAAGAGACGTCTTTCTCCTCTGGAGGCTCCTCTCCATCTGAGCTGGAGGGCCCTGTCTGTTCAACTGATAGCTAAGGACCCTATGATTAGGCTGTTTGTTCTGACTGTCGCAGTTCCAAATCAAAAAGGCAGGGAGAAGTCAGTCACTGTCAGCAGTGCCAAACGTTGTGGATCAGATTTATTGGTTCTGTCTGATTTGGATGTCTTCTGCGGTTCAGTCTCTGAGACCTAAGTCTATTCCGCATTTGGCTTCATGTTTCAGGATTACAGAGTTGAGCCCCTCTCCAGCTCTGATGATTCCTAAGCCTGTCAGACCAGCACCATTGCCTGTATTAACTCCAGTGCCAATGTCTGATCAGAAGAAGACTATTATTGTGCTGGCATGCTCTCAATATGACATCTGACTGTTGGTTGGATCTGAGTGAGTGATTGCTCAGAGCGAGAAGGAGGAGGAAGCCTTCATTGGTTCTGAGGTCTAAATCCCTTTCACCTGAAAAAGGTAAAATGGAAGATATTGTGAGTCTTTTCACAGAGCCATCTTTGCCTCTCCCTCTTAAGACTCCTTGAGGATTGCCAAACAGATCCTTCTCAGCTTTTAGGCATGAAAAAAGTGCCGTTGCTATCTCCGGTGAGATCAATAGTGGAATAGAGGTTGAATCCACGGTTAGAAGAGGATAGAGGGAGAGTTGAAAGGTCTCAATTGTCCATATTCATGCCATCTAAGTCTGGATTTCCTCAACCTCTTGGACAGTTTCTGCTGCCTCATCCTATGTATATGTTCCCAGGTCCCAATTATTGGAGAGACTGGCAGGTCTGTGGTCTTATTGGGCTGTGCTGCAAGAGTTCTTGAGTCATCCTCCGTATGGATGAAGTAGTGATATTCCAACTAATAAGGATCCATCTTCTGGGAAATTTTTGGATCTGATTCCACCGGATATGTCTGCAGCTCACATGGTGGTGCCTGATACTTTCTGAGTAAGGAAATGAAGAGTTACTTCCTCTTTTTGAGCATGGTTAGGTGGGTAAAAAATTTGAACCTGATATTTCACCTGATGAGCATGTTGGTGTTGCTTCTCTGTCTTCTCCTTCTGAGGATGCTTTACTATTTTATGAATTAATATATCATATGGAATCTACTTTGAACTTGCCTTCAGTTGCTGTGGAAGTGGCATCACATCCAGTATTTGACATTCTTGGTGGTCCTTTCAGGAAGGGGATGTTTTTACGTATGTTGGAAGGTTTCTTGCAACCTGCTGAAGCAGTTTGGGCTACCCTGGCTTCTTGTCAGCTTATCTTTAAGAAAACTGACAAATTCTCTGAAGTACTGCATGAGGCATGTTCATATTTTCATACTCACCTGTGCCAAATTCCCTGCTGGTTGCAGCAGCCAGTAATAGATTCAGGTCTGATTAAGCCTGTTCGACTCCAGATAGGAGAGAGGGAGAAAAGGTCGGGTTTTTGTTTGGTTTTTTTGTTTTAGTGATTTAGGGTGACTAATTACCTGGCAGTAGATAACTTGTGCAAAAGTTACCAGATGATCAGAGGAGATCATCTCAGGGAGAACAAGGCTTTAAAAGCCAGCTCCTAAATGACCAAAGGAGATAGTGAATAGGAGCAACAAATGGGAATTTTGTGAGGGAGTTTAGAGAGGGAGTGTAAGAGGCCGCTACATGTAACAAACCTACTCTAAACTTAGGCCAATTCTGCCCCCGCCCCAAATAAAACCAAAAACCCTGCAAGAGTAAATATAATGCAGGCAGAAATCCAGCAGCAGAGTGGAGGCTATCCAGTTTATTGCACTGAATGCAGCATGTATGAATATCTGTCTTGTGGGCAAGTGGCATTTTTGTGCAAGCAGCTCATGGGCCTCGGATTCACTGTAGAGACACTTGAGGCCAGAGCGGCTGAACTGGAAGAACTAAGGGAGATGGAAGTACACAGACGAGACTTTCAGGGACACAGTAGAACAGTCCCACTCCCAGTCTGACAGCCTTTGTGCTGTTGAGGAGGATGAAAGTCTGAGTGGAGGAGAACATCTGGAGCCAAGGGAAACAATCCCTTAGTTAGGACACTCCTTCCAGATGGTGTCATGGTATCCTCTTGCACTGAGGACACCCCTCCTAGGGAGAGATCCTGAGATACTAGGAAGAGCCAGGTAATAGCAATTCAGTTATTAGAAATATAGATAGTTCGGTTTGTGATGACTGGGAGAACCACATGATAAATTGTCTGCCAAGTGCAAAGTTGTAGATCTCCTGAGACATCTAGACAAACTTAAGGGGAGGAGCCAGTGGTTGTGATACACATAGGTACCGCTGACAAAGGGAAAGATAGGAGAGAGGTCTTGGAAGCCAAATTTAGGCTGCTAGATAAGAAATTAAAGTCCAGAACCTCCATGGTAGCATTCTCTGAAATCCTTCCAGTTCTATGCTCAGGGCTGGAAATATAGGCAGAACTGCAGGGTCTCGATGGATGAAGACAGTGGTGTAGTGAGGGCGGTTTTAAGTTTATTAAACCCCTTTATTAGAAACTAGGGAACTTTTGGGGAAAGGAGGAGTCTATACAAGAAGGATGGGCTCCACCTAAATCCAGATGGAAGCAGATTGTTGTCATGTAAAATTAAAAAGGTTGTAGAAGACTTTTTTTTTTTTTAAACTAAGAGCTGGGGGAAAACTGACAGGTGCACAGCAGCATATGATTTGCGGAGGAGACATCCCTTAGAGATAAATTTATTAAAGGGGAAACTCTATATCCTAGTAAAGAGGATAGGAAAGAAGTTGGTAAAGTGGATGTAGGAACTAGTGAGGAACAATCAAATGTAAGAGTCCCATTGAAATAGAACACATGAAGTTAAGCAACTGAATATTGACAAAATGTAAAAGTGCTTCTATATAAATCCTCGAAGTCTAAATACTGAGATAGGTGAACTAGAGTGCCTGGCATTAAATGAGGATATGGATTGTGACAAAGTTCCTCCTCTACCTTGGTGGGTCTTGCGCTTATTAGCGGATTTGCTCGCCTTGGAGCTTCACAGCAGCCCTCAGCTTGGCTGTTTTTCTGAACCCACAGTCCAGGTCGACGACTCCTGTGTCTGACCAGGAGTTGGGAGGATTTGGGGGGAACCTGGGCCGACCCTCTACTCCGGGTTCCAGCCCAGGGCCTTGTGGAATGCAGCTGTCTAGAGTGCCTCCTGGAACAGCTGTGCCTAACTCCCTGGGCTACTTCCCCATGGCCTCCTCCCAACACCTTCTTTATCCTCACCATAGGACCTTCCTCCTGGTGTCTGATAATGCTTGTACACCTCAGTCCTCCAACAGTCCGCGTTCTCACTCTCAGCTCCTAGTGCCTCTTGCTCCCAGCTCCTCACACGCACACCACAAACAGAAGTGAGCTCCTTTTTAAAACCCAGGTGCTCTGATTAGCCTGCCTTAATTGATTCTAGCAGCTTCTTGGTTGGCTGCAGGTGTTCTAATCAGCCTGTCTTAATTGTCTCCAGAAGGTTCCTGATTGTTCTGGAACCTTCCGTGTTACCTTACCCAGGGAAAGGGGACCTACTTAGCCTGGGGCTAATATATCTGCCTTCTGTTACTCTCCTGTAGCCATCTGGCCCGACCCTGTCACAGGCAATATGGAAACTTGGTGTAATGAGGATAATCAATGGGACACCATTATACCATGGTACCAAATATATAGGAATGACCAAGTAGGTCACGCTGGTGAGGGATTTCAGAGTGGTAGCCGTGTTAGTCTGTATCAGCAAAAAAAAACCTGAGGAGTACTTGTGGCACCTTAGAGACTAAAATTTATTTGGGCATAAGCTTTTGTGGGCTAAAACCCACTTCATCGGATGCATGCAGTGGAAAATTCAGTAGGAAGATATATATACAGAGAGAACATGAAACAATGGGTGTTGCCATACCAACCGTAACAAGACCAATTAATTAAGGTGGGCTATTATCAGCAGGAGGGAAAAAAAACAAAAACCTTTTGTAGTGATAATCAACTGTTTGAAATGGGCCATCCTGATTAAGTGGGTTTTAGCCCATGAAAGCTTATGCCAAAATAAATTTTAGTCTCTAAGGTGCCACAAGTACTCCTCGTTGTTTTTTTTACTGGTGAGGGAGTGGCACTATATGTAAAGGAAGCATAGTCAAATATAATAATCTTAAATGACTCAAACTGTACCACAGAATCTCTATGGACAGAAATTCTGTGCTTGAACAATAAGAGTATAGCAATATAATATACTACTGATCACCTGACCAGGATGGTGACAGTGAAGAATGGCTACAGAGGCAAAAAACACAATAATAATGGGGGATTTCAGCTATCCTTAGAATGACTGTCTATATGTCACCTCAGGAAGGGATGCAAAGAAAATTTCTAGACTCCGTAAATGACTGCTGCATGGAGCAGCTTGTCCTGGAATCTGCAAGGGGAGAGGCAATTCTTGATTTAGACAAGCACAGGATCTGATCCAAAAGATGAATATGGCTGAAGCACTCAGTATTAGTGATCATAATGTAATTAAATTTAACATCCTGGTAGGGAGAAAATACTAAAGAAACCCACCACAATACCATTTAGCTTAAAAAAGAGGAACTACACAAAAATGACGAAGCCAGTTAAATTGATTTGCCCTTTGCTGGCTGGACCTTGTTCTCAGACAAGAGTGACAACACTTAGCACTCCTGTAAGAATTCTAGGGCTTGTCTTAAACATGTTTCTATTGGGGAAATCTGCAAAGCTGCTACCTGGAAGTCAGTCCATACGTTTACTAAACATTATGCTTTGGATTTGGCTTCAAGAGAGGATGCTAGATTTGGTAGAGCAGTTAATTAATTAGGACTCTGTTCCCTCCTCCTGAGTTTACAGTATCACTTGCCAAACTACCCATAAGTGGGAATATGCAGTCAATCGAAGGAGAAATTAAGGTTATTTACTAATAACCAGAGTTCTTCAAGATGACTCTGCATATTCACACATCCCACACACAATTTCTCAGAGTCCTATCCTGGTTTCTCTGGGTCAGCCTCAGAAAGAACTAAGGCAGTAAAGTGCCAGTGCCCCCTTTTATATCCTCGCCCTCAGAACATTCAAGAGTGAGGAGAGGGCGCATGTGTGTTCCCACAGGCACTGCTTGGAGAAGGTTCTACTGTTAGGCTGCACTGGTTGGCGCATTATCCATAAATCCATCATCTCATAGACTCCTAGGCTTTAAGGCCAGAAGGAACCATCGTGATCATCTAGTCTGACCTGCACATTTCAGGCCACAGAACCACATCCACCCACTCCTTTAATAGATTCATAACCTCTGACTGAGTTACTGAATTCCTCAAATCATGATTTAAAGATTTAAAAATACAGAGAATCCACCATTTACTCTCGTTGAAACGAGCAAGTGACCTATGCCCCATGCTGCAGAAGAAGGCAACCCCTCACCCCCAGGGTCTCTGCCAGTCTGACTTGGGAGGAAATTTCTTCCTGATAGAAAGATGGTGATCAGTTATACCGTGAGCATGTCGACGAGACCCACCAGCCAGATACCTGGAAAGAATTCACTGTAGTAACTCAGAGCCCTCCCCATCTAAAGTTCTGTCTCCATCTGTTGGAGATATTTGCTACTAGCAGTTGTAGATGGGCCATGTGCCAACCTGAAAGAACTCCAGGTAAGTAACCTCAAGAAAGTAACCTTCATTTCTTCTTGAAGCAGATTCCTCCTGGAGTGTCAAACAGTATTTCCAACTAGGTGCATTAAATTAGCCTCAGCCCAGACAAAGATGGCAGCAGTGCGAGAGGTCTTTGAGGTCCTTTGGGAACTTGTAGCACACATGAGAAGATTGATACTGGTGAACTGACTTAATGTGCTGATGGACAAAGAAGAGTTTAAGATTTTCAGAGCACTGAAATTCCTTTTGTGAAGAAAGCCTATTTGGATTAGATACCTGTTTCTTAGACTGAAGAGAATTGAACTCCTACACAAGCCTTGCTTTAAACTCATTAGAAAAGGAAGAGAAGGAGCTTTTTGCTTAATTCAAATGTCCTGTGATGTAATTCCAACATACATAGCATTTCAGAAGATAAAATTTGAAGACCAAACATGAAGGATCTTAACATTCTAAATTTTGTATCCATATGCAAGGAGCACTGGAAACCAGCAAGAACTAGAAGGGGGTACTAAATGATGGAGATTATTATCTGGTGGTGTAATCAGAAATCGGTAGAACGATCCACGTATCTGGCATGTAAAATACAAATGGTTTTGTATTTATAAAATACATTGCACATGAAATCATATAAAGCCATAATACATAATGAGAGAGATGTGGGGGTGTGCTAGGGAGTTAAGTGATGAAATACTTTTGGGTAAGGATTCCAGGAATGAAAAAGTGGAAGTGACCCCTCTGCCTCCCACCTCTTCACGCTAATCAGAATGTGAGAAATAAATATATCTACACATGCATTGATATTTAAATGCCAACAATGTGTTTCTTGTACAAATTATCAAGGATGATGTGGTTCCTGCTCTGATGAGTGTATAGTCTTAAATAGCCAATACAAATCAGGTAAGAGGTGCAAAACTGACAGAGAAGGGTTCTATCTTAGAATGACTTTTGATTGGTGAAACACGATGAATTTAATGAAATGGAGCAGCATTACTAATGGGCTTTGTGGAAATGATTTAGAGGTGTTTGAATGAGAGAGGGTGATCATCTTGCTTTTGAGGGTGTTCCCAGCATAGATGGCAGTCTGGAAAAAAAGAAAGCCTAAGGATAAGAGTAGGAGACGAATATAAAGAGTCTGCCTTGCAGAGGAACAACATACAGAAATCCCAAGAAGTACAGTTCCTTTGACTTCCTTATGCTTCCTTGCAGGGCAGATGGCTCACAAGGGCCTGAAGGTAGGTTTCATGCAAGATGGGAAGGGAGCATAACTTTGTAAAGATTATTAGACTCTGACACTAGGGCAAACACCAGCTTCAGCTATGTTTTCAGTGTCTAGTTACTTACCAGTAAATGGAGTTCTCATTGAAGTTTTTTTTAATTCTACTTTGGATTTTTCCAAAAGCCTTCTTGGACCCGAGAGAGTTTGTATGTAGACATAGCAGAAGAGTCAGTTAACTCCTGACACGTTCTGTGGCACATGCACTTACCTGTATAAAAATTCAAAACTTCAGTGGTTGAAAGTAGCATTCATAGAACCGCCAGAATGCAGATCTGTGGCTTAAATGAGTCACCACCTTAGAATCATAGACTTTAAGGTCAGAAGGGACCATTATGATCATCTAGTCTGACCTCCTGCGCAACCAGGCCACAGAATCTCACCCACCCAGTCCTGTAACAAACCCCTGACCTATGTCTGAGCTATTGAAGTCCTCAACTTGTGGTTTAAAGACTTCAAGGTACAGAGAATCCTCCAGCAAGTGACCCGTGCCTCATGCTGCAGAGGAAGGTGAAAAACCCCCAGAGCCTCTGCCAGCCAATCTGCTCTGGGGGAAAATTCCTTCCCAACCCCAAATATGGCGATCAGCTAAACCCTGAGCATGTGGGCAAGACTCACCAGCCAGACACCCAGGAAAGAATTCTCTGTAGTAATTCAGATCCCATCCTATCTAGCGTCCCATCACAGGCCATTGGGCATATTTACTGCTAATAGTCAAAGATCAATTAATTGCCAAAATTAGGCTATCCCATCATACCATCCCCTCCATGAACTTATCGAGCTTAGTCTTGAAGTCTTTTATCCTTTGTTGGTCCTTTGTTCCTATTTTAAAACATTGTATTTTTCCCTTTGTCTTTAGGAAGGTATTTCAACACTGGATCTGCTCTCTGACACCAATTCAAGTTTGTTTTCACAACCGACTTCTGCTGAAATGGGTGTTCCACTTCCTGCCAAGAATCTAATGTTCAAAGAAGGCATGTTATCCGAATGGAATGGACAGTCCCCGTCCCCAGTTCTTATTGCAAACGTACTTAAAGAACAAATCCAATAGTTTGGTTTCACCGTGCATTGCTCACTTAATGCCTTTTTTCTTTGTCTAATACAATTAATTTATACTGCCAACCACTAAGAAGTGTTTTGCTGCTGCAGCATAACCCACATTAAAGTAGTGTTTTTAAGTGTGTTGTGTTGCAGTACTGGGGAAACACGCTGTATACAACTTGTTATTCATTGGCGCATTTCCGGCTGCAACAGAAAGCTCTTCAGCTATCAGCGCTATATTTGTATCTTGGGATAATCGCTATTTCTTTTATAATTCTAAACACACCTTTTTTAGGCTTTCTGGTTATTGTTAAATTTCTATGCTGTCATCACAAAATTGCAATAGTAATTTGATATGTTCGTTGCTCATATATAAATTAGTTTTGTATTTTATTACTGAATTCTGTTTATAAGTAGGAGATTTGGCTCTGGAAAGGCTTTCAGTAGTGTTCAAATAGTAAAAATCTGGTATCATGGTGGTATTATGGGGCATTAAGCATTGTTGCCGATGTCTGTATATTATGTAGGTCAGCCTGATGATGATGAAGGTTTGGTTTGGTAAATCAACATAACAATAATGAATTGACACTTTCTATGAGGTCTTAAGTTTTGAAGACATAAAATCCTACTGATGCCTTTAGGAAATCTTAGAAAAAGATTGGGTCAATTTCATCCTCTGTGTAATTTCATGGAGAGCAGTAGAATTGCACCAGGGATTAATTTGGTTCCCTCTGTTCCTAGAAAGCTGTTTACGTATATAGTAGTGTATTTCTTTTGTCCCTTGTTTTATTGGAGCACTTACATGAAACTAGGATCTTTGCGCCTTAAGCATGTTTGCTTCTGTCACATGCAGTGTTGTTGGGGTCGTGTTGGACCCAGGATATTAGACACACAAGGTGGGTGAGGTGATATCTTTTATTGAAGCAACTTCTGTTGGTGAGAGACAGAAGCATTTGAGCTTACACAGAGTAGACCTGAAGAAGAGCAGTGTGTAAGCTTGTGTGTCTCATGAACGAAAGTTGCTCCAAAAAAAGAGATTACCTCACCCACCTTGTCTTTGCTTCTGTCACTTATTCCTCACCGGAAGCTGTTCATTTATGTTTGTAACATCGCTGTGGAAAAGAGTGATGTCACAAACCAAACATGTTAATGGCAGAATAAACAGTTGGAGAAGCCTTAATACTAAAAGAACAAAGCTTTTGGTTTTTATGTGGGTGTTCTCAATAAAGAAAAAATGCAGAAAAAAGTGCCGAAAATCTGTAGGCAGATGTATTTCTTTAAACAGTTCTTTTAAGTTTTCCGTAAGCCATCAACTACTCATGACAAATATCAACTTAATCATTTCTAGGTTTAGAAGGCTTCCTCCCTAGAGGTGGGAGGAATTTGTGCAGTGTTACTTCATTTTAGTTTATACTAACTCTGCAAGGTGGTTTCCTGCCCTTTTAAACACATCGTATCCAGTTAAGCATACTAGGAAAACAAGTATGTAGAATATTTTGAAGATTAGTGTCTAAAAATTTCTGATGACTTTTTGTTTACTGGAATTCATTAATATACTATCTTTAAAATGAAATTGAACCATGCTGTCAGCACCTGCCTGCAGTTTAAGCAATTATTGGACCAAGAACCTGTGCAACATGCAGTGCTGGAAATTGTACATGGTAAATGTAGTAATGTTCAGTTTTTGTATTTGTTTGATAAGAGGGTAAGAAGAAAATATTTGATGTGATATATGTTTTAAAAGGGTGGGGGGAAGCACCCTAATGTGATAGAACAGTGAGTTGAATTAGAATGGAATCTTCAGTTATTTCTTTATTTCTCACTTGGTTAACATTCCTATTAAGTGTAAATGTGGCGCTTTCTCTCCGGCTGAAAAACTGGAAGTTGTAAGTACTTCAGCATGGTCAGTGCAATGCTCTTCTCACGTTTGTCTCTTCTCCTTTTATATTTTACCACTAGCAGCTGAACTTGCTTATTCTGCACATATTACAGAGCTTGACTTCATGTGTTGATTAGTGTGTATGCTACAATAAAAAAGGTTGACTTTTTTTTTTTATTGGCCATGTACAAATTGTCCATATTTTTAAATTGATACTGGCTGTCTTTTTGCCTTCAAAGGAAATTAAAAAGAAAAAATAGGAATGCTACATGTTCTTTATGGATATTAGTAAGGGGGGGGAAATAGCATAGAAAGCAGACCATAGTCTGATCTGTCTGAGAATTAATATCCTACATGAAGAGACATTAATCCACCATCTAACACAGTGAAGGGACCTATACTGAAGGTGATGCTTTACATTTTCAGTATCGTAGGCATTATTTGAAATACTGCAGTGAGCTTTTGTAGTTTAGCTAGCAGCAAACTTTATATCGGCTGTCACCTGTACATTGTATATATACAGATATGTACAATTATGGTAGCTCATGTAAAAGTCTGTCGTCTGCAACCTCAAAATTAATGGAAGAATTTTTTTTTAAATTTGTTTTTAATTCTCCACTATTATTGGCTTAAATATTCATACTTGAATACCTAAAGTTAGGCTTCTAAATAAAAGTAGCCTGGTTAGCAGAATTGCTGAATACCTACAAATCTGACGGTTAACAATAAGAGCTGCAGGTACTTGGCAGCTTTTCAAAATTAAGCTACTCTTATTTAGGTGCTTTAAGATGGATTTAGAAACCTAACTATAGACCCACAGGCTTGGAAATTTTACTGAATAGGTGACTACCAAAGAAAGACCTTAAACTATCATAAACTCAACTGCAACTGTGATACTGGGTATGGTCCAGAGGCTTTATTCAAGGTACAACATTTTGTTTTAAATGCGGTGTAAACAACGGCAAGACCTCCATTCAGACCAAAATAATCTTTTGATATTGTTATTAAGAATAAAGACAATATAACTTTTTTCTTCAAATGATTTATTAATTGTGGAAAATCAATAATATTTTAAATTTATTTTAGGCATCTACCTTCCAAGAAGTCTGTTAAGTTAACGAAAAAAGTGGTTTGTTTTGTGCTTTGGGAATTAGTTCGGTCAACCTAAGCAGTATTTTAGCTGGATTTATCTTGAGATACAGGAGCCAACTAACAAGATTTCATTGTGGTTTCTATCACACAATGGTTCAAAAATTCTCTCTGGCATTGTTCTCAAACCTTTTTTTCTTTTCTTGTTCAGTGTTTCTAACACAGTTTGTATTCTGAAGGTTTTCAAGTACAACTGTAACTCAATACAGTTGATTTTTTTCTTGTATGACATTGTTAATAGGATATATTGAAATGTACAAAATTTTGTGTTCAGTTAAATTATTGGCACATGTAACAAATGTTTACAAATAAAATGTGTTGTAGATCAAAACACGGCAAAATGCTTTTCCCTTTCAGGTGTGTTTCTTCTGGACATGGCAGTAAAATGTGGCACTTATGGATTGAAGGACCATTAACCAATTATAGTAATCTCCATAATATATTATCAGAGTATCTCTGGCAATATCTTGCTACTATATCTTGTAGTAGCAAAATCTTCAGACATTTAGTTTTATCAGAAGATAAGTTCAGTCATTGCAATATCTTTCCTCCTAAACCCTTTTCTCCATTGGTTTTCAGAGAGATGATCGTGGAGCATAAAAACTGCACCCTGACGCTCCCCATCCAGCCATGATTCTTCCACGAAGAGCCAAAGAACTTCCTGAGATCCAGCTTTGGCCCCATATCCTCCATTAATTTGCCCCCAGAAAAGACACACTAATTTAAGGCATCATTGAGCTCTCAAATTAGGATTCTGATCAGCAAAGCACTTACGCGTGGGTGTAAATTTAGGCAATGAGACTACTCACATAGTTTAGTATCCTGGTGACTCAGGGCCTCAGCAAAGCACTTAAAAACATGCTTAATTCCCACTGACTTCACTTCATACTTAAAATTAAGGGGATAATACCAAGCACACTCAGAACCAGCTTTGAAGAGTACAGAAAATGTTGAAATTATTACACAACTAAGTATTCAGGCGTGAATTTTTTTTTTTTTTTTTTTAGTGCTGATTCAGGCCAATAAGTAACTATCACATTATAGAATCTCAGCACTCTGGTACTTGAATCCAGTTGCAAACCCTTCCAGAAAGCTCAGGCTGGTATTGACTTTTAGAAAGTTGACCTGTGTTCTTGAATATAGGAAAGCTGTTGACCTTTTGCTTAGTTATAGAAGAAGAGAAATGAGATTCCTGCTTCATTAAAGTAATCCTCTTTGATCCTTTCTGAACTCTGTTTTATAGCAGAATGGCAATTACAAAGAAACAAGCAAAAACATTCAGAAGTGTTTTAGGTCTGCTCACATTAAATCTCTTCACTTCACTTTACCACTCTTCAAGAAGTAAAAGAATAAAACACCAAATAAATTTGCACATTCTATGTATTGCATATGTCAAGCATTCACCTGTTTGCTATTGTACATCCAGCAACTCTTACTCATTTAATCCCATAGTGAACTGTTAAAGGCCAAGAGGTCCTACACATTAGAAGTTTGCTCAACTCTATTCAGAACTGTCAAGTTCTATAAGCTGAACCAGCTGGGAATTGTCCTCTTCTACCAGACTGAAAATGTAGGCTCCAGGCCCTATTATGAATTTACCAAAGTCAGTATAATCTGCAAGGACAGAAGGTGTTTTTATTTATTTATTTATTAGCGTACAGAAGGGGAAAGGATTCAGTGATAATTCATGGTAACAAACATAGGGATTTTTAGAATTTTCTCTTTTATGCTGCTCCTAAAAATCACCCTTAACACCTATTGATTTCAATGTAACTGTTGTAATTTTAACTTTGAAACACATTATAAATGCATTAGCATCTAACTTCATCTTTCTGCTAGTCTTTAAGAAAGCTCAAGTTTCATGATTTAAGCAGGATCCAATTGTGTGATTTGGGTAGGGCAGGATTAGGCCCTAAATGAATTCCCCAAAGTCTAAATAGAACTGTAAGTGGAGATATTTTTTTAAGTACAACTGTTGTCCTTTGGATGTCAGTATTTCACTTTAATACCTATCTGTCACTCAACAACAAACTATTAGAGATTTATCTTTTCTGTAAGATCCTGCATGTATCCTTATGTTTTTTAAATCCTTGGTTTGGAATCTTGCTCATTGAGTCATTTTCATAAATTAACTAAATAAACAGAGCTCTTTGACTAGTAAATAAGTTATCAAATCTATTTGAAGAATAAAACATTTTTGGAATATAATTTAAAAGTCAAAACACTGGTTGAATAACACAACACATTTTTGTCAGATATTTTATTTGAATGATGCCATTCATCAAATATATTGTTCAACTAAATAGTATTAGATCAGCTGTATTAATAAACATTACCAGTACAGCTAGACAAATAACTGATTTTTTTGGTTTGGTGGCAGTTAAAAAAAATCCAGTTTGGGTTGAACTGAATCTGAATTTATTTTGGAATTTTTGGTGAATTGAAAAAGTCCATTTTTGGGTCTGTTCCAGAGCAGGAATTCAAACCTAGGTCTTATATGTCCCAGGTGAGGGTTCTAATCACTGGGCTAAAGATTATAAGGGGTGGGAATAGGGGAGCAGGTTACCACCATCTCCTCCTTTGGCCATTTTGTGAATGGCCAAAAGCATTTCTTTCAAATTCACAAGTTGTTTTGGATTGACCAAAACTACATTTTTTGGCAAATAAACTATTTGAAAAACTTTGCCCAGCTCTAATTAGCAGTGCACTGTGGCTCAGTGGCTCAGATGGCAGTGAGGAAGGCAACGGGGGAGGTGACAGAACCAATGACAACAGTGATAAGGCAGCCCATGATGGTAGTGACCAGAAACCTATGACGACAATGAAACCAGGGCAAGGACAAGGACAGGGATGGAGTTCAAGACAGAAGTGACCTGGGAGTTGATGATAGTGGCAGAACCCAGGATAGTGGTGGTGACATGGCAATGGAACCCAGGCGGGAGGCATCAGAACCAATGATGGCAGTGGAGCCATGGCAATGATGAGGACTGGGAGGAAGCCAACAATGGCAATGACCAAGAAGCTGATGATGAAGATTAGAATGGCAACAGAGAGGGAGCCAGCAATAGCAGTGGAGAGCAGAACAGTGGCAACAAGAGTGTATGATGGTGATGGAGCCAATGATGGTAACAAGGACTGCAGTGGGGCTGAGGAGGGCGGTGATGAGGGTGGCAATGGAGGCCAGGATGGAATCGATATGGGAGGTGAAGAGTCAATGACAGGGATAACCAGGAAGCTGATGACCGTGGTGGAGCCAAGAATGGCAACACGTCCCAAGCCAGCTGTGACGAGGAAACCAATGATGGTGGCGGAGCCCGGGACAACAGTGACAATCAGGGAGTCAGTGATGGCAACAGAGCCCAGGATGGAAGCGACAAGGAAGGTGAATGAGCTGATGATGGTAGCGGTGAAGAGATCTGTTGATGGAGCTGACAGTAAAGCCAATGGGACCCAGGATGATGGTGACCAGGAGGCAGATGATGCGTGTGACTCTGGCATAGCCCAGGTCAGCAATGATGGTGACCAGGGATTCAATAGCAGTAACAGAGCCCAGGACAGAGGCGACGAGGGAGCAATGATGGTGGAGCCCAGGACAGTGATGAAGATGATGGCAGAGTGCTGGGTAGCACCAAAGAAGGTGATGGAGCTGGCAAGGGACCTGATAGCAATGGAGCTGATGACAGTGATGAGGTGAATGATGGAGGTAGGGATGACAATGAGGATGGTGATGGAGCTGAAGATGTTAATGGTGGAGCTGATGTCAGTGATGGAGGTGAGGATGTTGAAAAAGATGGCAACAGAGATGAGGACAATGCTCAAGTCAAGGAATATACTGGTGAGCAGGAGGACAAAAGCAAATATATCAGTGGAGCGGATTGTAATGGCAAAAATTGTGATGGAGCCAGGACACACAGGTCAGTGAGGCTTTATTTGAAAGTTGTAAAGTCTGAAGTGAGGGCCCAGGGAAAGTAGAGAAGATCAGGTACATGGGGCAGGTACATGGAGGAGAAACCAGTGAGAGAGGCGATGTAGGGGGAGAAATATAGGGCAAAACCAGAGAGAGGAAATGAGAGGGGGAGCCTGTATTTGTCACAGCAGGGAGTTGGGGGTGCGCTTTTCCCCTAGGGAGACATGTAACAAGGGATGTACTCGCACTGTGGGGGGTAGCTGGAGGTGGAAAGTGACCAGGATAACATGCTGAGTGATGAGAAAGGGACTGAGGTTGTGACCGGGGTCCCAGTGTGGGCCAGCCAAGGTCACTCAGGTTGAACTGCAAAGAATGGGGCAGATAATCCTCAAAACTGGTGGATACTTCCAATACTTAAATTTACCAAGCCAGCATAAAACAGATTCTTTATTACCTCACTGGTTGCCCAGAAGCCAACAACACAGTTCCCTTGAAGTAAGCCAGCCTCAAGCCACCATCCAGGTACCCAAGTCAAATATGATGATGATTTCTGAAAATCTTATTTCATCGTATAAAAGAAAAGCTTCTACCAATCTCAAAGGATCAGACACATTACCTTCCAGGTTAATGAATTATCCAGATCTTATCCAAATACACGCTTACCACCAATTATTATTAACTAAACTAAAATTTATTAGAAAAGAGAGTATGGTTAAAAGATCAATATACATACAGACATTAGTTCAGTTCTTGAGGTTCAGATACATAGCAGAGATGGTGAGCTTTGTAGTTGCAAAGAGTTCTTTTAGAATTTAGTCCATAAGTTATAGTCCAGTGTCCAATATTGTATTCACGGAGTACCAGCATAACTGGGATTTCAATGTGATGATTCAGACTTTCCCTGATGAAGCTTAAGCAGATCTGGGATAACAAGGATTGGGACCCAAACATCTTTTATACAATTCAGGCCTTCTTTGAGAAGTTGGAGTCCCTCAGGGAACAATAGGTCCTCATTTCCTAAGCATCGTTGTTAATTATTCACACAGATGAACATAAGGCAATTCCCTGTTTTTTCACCATTCACAGATGATTTGCTATGCATTTCAAAGAGAGATGAATACAGCGACATCCTATGTTTATAGTTCATTTAAATGTTCATTTCTTTTGATTTCTGAATTAACAGAATACAGCATAGACAGGGAGTGTTGATTACATTGTTGACCACTACCCATATATATGTAAATACACAAAAACACAAACATTATCTCCCCATATGTCTTTGATGGTTGAATTTCAGTCATTCATCCTGCAGGATGCTTAACCTTTCTGGCCATGCGTCACAGAGGTAGTGGTAGTTTAGTTTGCGGGAGGGATGGGAGGTGTCCAAGTGTTGTGTGAACAGCCAGACCTTGTCCCAGTGATGGGAAGGTTAGTCCAGTGACAGTAGTCAGTGAACCACTTAGAGTCTGGTTTGGCAGAATCCAGATGGGATCTTAGTTCCTCCTGGATGTGATGGAGATGTTCAACCAGGTCAGATGCAGGGCCATAGGAAGTTGAGGGTTGGAATGGGTGGAATTGGGGGTGGACACCATAGCTGGCGAAAGAGGGGCTTTGGCAGGTGGACTTACGCTCAGCATCATTGTAGGTGAACTGTGCGAAGAGTAGGAGTTGAACCCAGTCATGCAGTTCTGCCTGCTTGAATGTGTCTCCCATGTAAACTGAGCAAGGTATGACCAAAGACAGAGAGACATTTGCAGGTCAGGCAAACAAAGCCATCAGGAGAGCAAGTGGGGAAAAAAGTGATCATTTAACAATCTCAATGGGGGATGGAGACAGCACCCCCAGGAAGCCTTCCTGCCTCTTAAAGCAGGGTTGATGAAATTTTAGAGAGATACTTTCCAAAGGCTTATTGGACTATAAAGAGAGGGGCAGAGAACCCCTAAGTTATCCTTCATCTGAGGAGATGAGGAAAATCAGTGTCTTGAACTCTGTGGGGATCCTGACTAAGAGCTAGTTAGCTATTGCTGGAAAAGGAAGATGGATGAGGAGCAAAGACTGTAGCTTGATAAGTTAGGTCTTAGCCATTAGAAAGTTTACTTTTGTTTGTTTATAACCGTTTGTCTTTTATCTCTTATACTTGAACCCACTTAAAACCTCTTTTTTGATTGAATAAGCTTCTTTTACTTATTATCTAAACCATCCCAGTGCTTTGGTTGAATTGAAGTGATAGTTATCTCCAGTCAAGATGATAAGCTGCTCTTTCTGTCTCTCTAAAGAGGCAGAGAACTTAATATCTTTCTTGAATGTTCAGCAATAGTGGTTGTGAATTGAATAAAGACTTCACTGAGGCACTTGGTGCTGAAGTTCACTGTTACCTGCTGGCAAGGTTTGGACTGGTGGAGTCCTGAGGACTATACTGGCAAGGCAGAAAAGCTAGTTTGTCAAGGAGTTGTCATAGTTTAGGTGCAGCAAAGCTCAAACTTGCTGAGGCTGAGAGGGGTAACAGTGTCTTGCAGCTCTGGGTATCCCCAGCAGCCTGTCACATCCATGAAACTTGAAAACATGATAGGAGAAGAGATCGGCTGTCACTTCTGTGGTGGGGATCTTGTGGCAGGGCACGTAGTGGGACATCTTGGCTAGGAGGTCTATGAGTACAAATATGATGGTATGGTTCTGGGAGTCAGGGAGCTCCACAACAAAATCCATTGATATGGATTCCAGGGTCAGGAAGAAGTAAGTAGGTGTACAAAGGTGCCCAGGGGCTTATTGTGGGGGAGCTTTATATGGCAACGTACCTTGCACAAGTTGTGCGATCTTGTGGAGGCATGCAATCTGGGCCACCAGAAATGCTGCACAGTTTTATGGTCCAAAATAGCCAGTTAAATATAAATCATGGCACAGTCAGAGAATTGCAAGGCAGGGTGTACCTTCAGGGGCATAAATGCATTCCTTGAACAGAAGTATCCCATTTCTAACAGAGATGCCTGGGTTCGGCTCACCACTGGGCAATATCTGTTTAGTTGCAAATTGGTCTCTTGGCAGAGAGGATTTTACAAGGGCTAACAGGTCCATTTTCACTAGCACACTGGTGAAATGGCAAGGGTTCTGATGGTCCTTCCTTGCCATCAAGGCACTCACCCTTGTGGGAGAGTGCATCGGGCTTGCCGTTGCAGCCTCCGGGCTGATAATGTAGTGTGAACTCAAAATGGGGTAAAAACAGGACCAGTGGACCTGGCGTTGGTTGAGGAACTTCAGGTGTAGCAGGTGTTCTAAGTTTTTATGGTCTGGGAATACCGGGATGGGGAAATGTGCACCCTTCAAGTGGTGACACCACTTCTCAAAGGCAGTCTTAATGGCTAGCAGCTATTTGTCATAGATTTCATAGTTATGTGGGAGTTAGCTTTCTGGAGTAGAATGTTCACGGGTGGAGAATGCACGGTGACCCCTGTGTTTGTGATAGCACGGCTCTGATGGCATAATTAGAAGTATCTGCCTTGACAACTAAGGTCTTGGATGGGTCTGGCTGTTTCAATATAGATGCGGAGTCAAAGTTCTTCTTTAGTTGCTTGTTGGGCTTCTGACATCTAGATAAAGGTAGAATTCTTACAGTGAAGTTGTGTAATTGAGGCCACTACTCAGGAGAAGTTCATGAAGAATCTTTGATAGAAATTCACAAATCCCAGGAAGCACTGGATGTTGCAGGTGGTCTTCAGTGAGGCACAGTCCACAATACTGGTAGATACTTTCTGTGGATCCATACTGATCTCATAGAGTGAGATGACATAACCCAGGAAATCAATGGTGGTGTGGTCACACTTGCATTTTTCCAGTTTGGTGTATAGGTCATTTTTCCTAAGGTATTCCAGCACTTGTTGGACGTCATGGCTGTGCAGAGTCTGGCTTTCCAAGAAGATGAGGATGTCATCTAAGCAATGAACTGGTCTAGGATATCTTTGAAGATATCATTCACAAAATGTTAGAATGTGGCCAGGGCGTTGGAGAGGCCGAAGGGTGTAAACAGGTACTCATAGTGGCCATACCTGGTCAGAAGGCTGCCTTCCGCTTCTCGGCCCTTTCAGATGTGGACCAAGCTGTATGCATTGTGCAGGTGGGGCTCAGTGAAGACCTTTGCTGTGCTGACTTGTTCTAGAAGCTCGTTGATCAATGGGAGAGGATATTTGTTCTTCATGGTGATACTATTCAAGGCCGGATAATCAACTCAGAGGTGCCGTTTTCCTTTTTTTAATCCTCAGGATGGGGGTTCCAGCAGGGGATTTGGTGGGCTGGATGAAGTTTGTAGTCAGATTCTCATCCAGGTAATTTTGTAGGACCTTGATCTCAGGTGCTGATAAAGGGTAAATATGCCTAACGGGCTCTTTGCCCCTGGCTGGAGATCTGTAGGCTTGTTGTAGGGTCAGTGTTGGGGTAGGACATTGGCATTCTTTTTATCAACACATCTGCGAGGTCGCTATACTTGGCCAGAATTAAGGAACCAGTATATCTCAACACTGATGTAGTACTGAGCACCAAAGATGCTTTCCTGGGTGCCATTCTATCTCCCCCCACTGGATCTTCCTAAGCACCTCTGCTGTCAGAACCGGAAGTTGAATCATACCTCCCATGCTGCCCAGGAAATCATTGGGTTGTGGAAGGAGAGGCAGGGGAAGCCTAATATAACCAAAAAGTACAGCAAAAGGATCAGGTAAAATTTCTTAATATCCTGGTGTTCCCAAATCTCAACCTGGAGAGGTGCTGTCTTGTAGAAAACAGACCAAGGGGACAACATAGTCTCCATCTGCTCTGGGACAAGCTTCCTCTGGTGGGCAAGTGTTTGGCTCAGGCAAAGGCCAAATCCATAAAGTTTCTGGATGTCTTGGAATCAATCAGTGTGAGTGGAGTATAGCTTACTTCACGTGTGACTGAGACCCAGAGCTGGAGAGGGATCTGCAAGTGTGGTTGGTGGGGGCACGTGTGGGCAGCAGAGAGGGATCTGTTTGGGGAACTTGC